TAGTAGAACAAGCAAAGTTCTACTGAGACAGGAAGCCCTCTTGTTTTCCTTCCTGCCCAGGCTTGAATAGTCATTCTGGAAGGTACCTGCCCAAGAAATTGTAGTGATTTTGCTTGCCACATGGGGTAATTAATGGTCAACAGTTCCAGAAATATGTATTTAGATCTAGTTGGATACAAATGTAATCTGGTAAAGCAAGGGAAAATTCAGTAGGAACAGAATTAGGAAGTGAAGCATTATTATGAGAGCTGAAAGGTTGATCAGAAAACTAGGATCTAGTCCAAGTTATAATTTGGCAGCCAAAATTAGTTGCTAGCTCTCTCCTACTTGGCTGTTTGGCACCTATACTGCATTTTTCTGTGTTCTTATAGAAAAGGGGAGAAATGTTTTAAGTTAACAGTGTTGTCCCACATGCATTTGATTTAAACTAGAGTTATAGAAAGGCTACTACAAATATTGTTGTGGAATTATGGTATAAAGAAAAAGAACAGATTATGTTGCAATTGAAACTTTCCCCTCTGCATTTGCAGCTCAGGCCCAGAAGCCTTGAATTGTTTTCAGAGAGAGCAAGTGAAAGTGACAGGAAGTTGTTGGTTTTTTTGAGTGATCATGTTGAGTGAAATAGCAATGGCAGGATGGTTGAGGAAAAGAGGTGAAAGGAAGCAGAAATGTAGGTAGGTAGGTAAATGAGAGGTTTGAAGTTGCTCTGGCTGCATTAATCTGACATCTCTTGAGTAACACAAGGAGAACAGTATTGCTTTTTGAAAATGGAATTTTTATACTGTGTCCTTTCTTCCCAGCTTTCTGCATAAGAATAGGATTAATGACATGACTGTTTCTTGACAAAAAGAAAGAACTGTTCCAGTTAAAGAGTATGTTAGCATTCTAACACAGAGAATCAATTTAGGTCAGGTCCTAGAAAATATTGGAGCACTCCTATCTCTCCTTGTAATAAATGTGAAATGAGGGTGCTAAACACTAGACCGAGTCAGGTTCCAATATTTCAGACCAGGGTTTGGATAGTAAGAAGAGTGGAGCTGCTTGGTAAAAGTGCAATTTGCCTGAAGAAAAATCCATTAAAAATAGGATTTCACCCTCTCTCTAGGCAGTCAAACTGAGAGGAGGAGCCAATCTCATTCAGCCCAGGTACATTCTGCCTTTGGCAGAATCAGTAGGCTATAGCTCCTTCTGTAAATGTGCCGGCCCATGTTCCCTCCACCTTCCATAGATATTGCTAGCATGTACAGTACTAATCAGGCCATTAAAATACGCTTACATTATCCAGTTTATTACAGAGATTCGTTTTTGCTTTGCACAAGTACACACAATGCCTTTGTTGGTTGCTGGCTGGTCTTAATATGGGCTGATCTTGTCTTCCAAAGATTCATAATACGCACATCCTTTGAAGATGTGCTTAAACAGTAGAGTGAAGGAATTCCCTATGGTACTCCCTAAACTCCAAGATACGTTACAGTATTTTGCACCCAGAAATATAAAGACTAGTATATTGTGATGTGCTGCATTCTTGCACGAGTCACTGAGGGATAGTCCATTGGCAACTCAAGTGCATCAGATAATGTGGATAAAGCTTCTAAAGAAGAGGCTCAGTGTACTAGAACGAAGCTGCCAGCCGAGACTTCACTTGAAACAATTGCCCTCCTCCTCTCTCCTCAAAACCTCAATAATATGTATTTTACTACTTGTTTTAGCTTACAAACTAATGTCTTAACATCTGTGAAATATAAAGCATTTCATTCATATATCAGTTTGTGACAGATGCAAGGCATTCGCTGTTTCTTAAAATCAGTGCAGACTTAGCATACAGAGGTGCTAATTAGGAATATAAATAGACAGCAGACAGTTGAGATTGCCCAAAATACTTGATTTTTCTCTTTCCCCCCCTTCAAAATCATACTGTCTACTTCTGTGCATATTGACCTAAGATATCTTATCTGCAATTGACCCCAGTGAATTACAATGAATATGAATGGGAACAGACTACAATAAAAAAATAGTAATCTCTCATTTAAGACTGTACAGCTAGTGTCCCCACCTTGTAGGGGAGCTGTGCAAGAGATATCAAAATGAGTTAAAAAGTATAAAATAGCAGAGAGATGAGAAGGGTGCAGACCTGTCCCAAATTTCATCCCTTAAGTTAAGTATTTACTGAAAAGAAACATGGAAAAGCCCAGTATATTGAAATAATTCAAAAGCTTAGGAAAAAAGCATTTCGAGAGGCTTACGGTTTTTAAAGGTTTTTTTTTTTAAAGCAATTTAGGCCTCAGGATTGCAACACTGTCACACATGTTTGCCTTTAAACACTTGGATAGTCTTTGATGGCTTCAGCAGGATTGCTAATAGGATCAAAGTGAATCACTTCCCTTAAGTGTTTGCAGGATGTGGACCCTGGTTGGCAGGATAAAGGCCATTTTATAGATTTATCATTCTTGCAATCACTGACTGTGACTTTAGAGTCATAAAAGAATAAAATAATGACTGCTTTGTCCAATAACATGTTGTATTTGGTAAGGTTTTATCTTCATTTCATCCCTGTAGAGAACTTCAGCTCATCACTGCCTTTTGACAGGAAAAGGGAGGAATGCTTATGTTTCTAGGAGTCTACAAGACCTGCACACACCACTTTTTGTTAGCCTTTTTTATTATACATGCACACAACAGATAAAACACTAAGTATTTCACATAGCTTAATAAAACGCGAGACTTTCCACGCATGCCAAGAACAATTTACAGTGGTACCCCGCAAGACGAACGCCTCGCAAGACGGAAAACCCGCTAGACGAAAGGGTTTTCCGTTTTGGAGGCGCTCACAGAAACGAATTTCCTATGGGCTTGCTTCGCAAGACGACAGCCCATAGGGAAATCTCAGGGACAGCGGGAAGCGCAGCGCGTCTGCCCCCCGGTCCTCGGCCCGCCGCCGACGCCTGGCGGCGGGGCGGGGACCCCCCCTCCCGCCGCCGCCGGGCTTCGGAAGGCTCCTCCGCAGCCGGGCGGGGGGAGGGAACACCTGCCGCCGCCGCCCGGCTTCGGAACGGTGCTCCGGGCCGGGCGGGGGGAGGGAACACCTGCCGCTGCCGCCCGGCCTCGGAACGGTGCTCCGGCCGGGCGGGGGAGGGAAGACCTCCGCTTCTGCCCGGCTCGGAACGGTGCTCCGGCCGGGCGGTGGGGAGGGAAGACCTCCCCGCCGCCCGGCTTCGGAACGGTGCTCCGGCCGGGCGGGGGAGGGAACACCTCCGCCGCCGCCCGGCTTCGGAACGGTGCTCCGAGCCGGGCGGGGAGGGAAGACCTCCGCCGCCGCCCGGCTTCGGAACGGTGCTCCGGCCGGGCGGGGGGAGGGAAGACCTTCTGAAGGCGGGCGGGGGCGAAAGTCTCTGCTCCCCTGCCTGCCTGTCCCGGAGGGCTTTTGAAGGCGGGGGAGCAAGACTCTCGCCCCGCCCGCCTTCAGAAGAGGTCCAGGACCTCTTCTGAAGGCTGGCGGGGGCAAAGTCTTTGTCCCCCTGCCTGCCTTCCCAGGGGCTTTAAATTGCCCCGGACAGCGGAGAAGTCCTCCGCTGTCCCGGGGTGATTTTAAATGCCGCCCGCCAGCATTTTAAGATCGCCCGGACAGCGGAGAAGTCCTCCGCTGTCCCGGGTTTTTAAAATGCTGGGGGTGGGAAGAAAAGCCCTTGCTCCCCCAGCCTTCAGAAGAGGTCCGGGGACAGACTGTCCCCGGACCTGGTCTGAAGGCGGTTTCCCTAGGAACGCATTAATTGATTTTCAATGCATTCCTATGGGAAACCGTGCATCGCAAGACGAAAAACTCGCAAGACGAAGAGACTTGCGGAACGAATTAATTTCGTCTTGCGAGGCACCACTGTACTGGATGTGATTCTTGCAACATACAGTGATACCTATAGCATTTCTTAGAAAAGAGGTGCCTCTCTGAATGGAGACATCAATTTATCAAGAGGGGTACCTTTATACAGTTGCAGCTTGTGTGCAAGTGTGCACTGCTGGGTTGTTGGTTTTCCTCTGCTTAGCCTCACAACTATTATTGCTGAGGGTTCTTAAGGTTCAAAGTTATGAAGCTGCTTATACCTGGGAAGTTACTTTATTGGTGTAGGGCACCCAAAAAGGCAGCTTGTCTTCCACAGAAAGTTGGTGTGGGTTCCTGCACTTTCTGTAATAGAAATAAGCCATGCTTTTTTTCTTAAAAAAATGTTTAGGCATACTCTTATTTTCCTACTCATACTGAAATACTGCTCCTCAATGAGGCCAAACTTAAGATTCACAAAATGTTTAGGGGTATGCGAACCCCTGCATCCCCCAGAAGAAAAGCCCTGGATATAAGCTTGAACTTTCTGTTTACAAGGGAGACAATATCGGGGTACTTCTGTCCCTGCTAATTGCAAAGTTATCTTTCCAAATTTTGTTAGCTTGAGCGGCTAACTTGCCATTTTTCTGCTCATTTCTCTAAGTCTCGGCAAGTTAAATTTCTGCCTGGGGAGCAGATGCATCTTGTCTGTAGTTGTACAGGAATGCATGTACACGTATGAACACTTAAGACATAGGGAGGCAGCCTTGATGTGACGACAGGGGTTTTGCACGCATTTAGCAGTCTCCCTGTTTCCTTCGCCGTCTTGCCGGAGGATTTGCTTGCGTAAAAGAATGTACCTTCCGTGCTTCTCTTCAAAACACAGACGTCCACTAAGGGGGCAGATTTTGGGGGAGACGCCGAGCGACGGGAGAGGAAGTGCTGCTTTGTGCCGGGGACGTTTATAGCCCAGCGTGGGGATATGGGGAGTGAGCAGTTGCGTCTCGGGAATCGGGCTCCCGGTGTTGTTAGAGGAGGTGCTGAGGGAGATCGCATCAAGCCGAGTGGTATTTGCGGCGCGAAGAAGGAAGCGTGGTAGCAAAAGCAAAAGTCCCGAGTCCCAGACCGCTCTTTGCCGCCCCGTTGCCATGAGAACAGCTCCCTCCCCCTGAACTCTCACCCCGCGCAGGCCGCGGAGACGCCTGGTCACATGATCGGAGCTAACATGGCGGCGGCCGCTGTTATGGGGAGCTGATTGCAGGTGCCGGGGCCGTTGCCTGCATCCGCCCTCATCCCCGGCCATGCAGAGCGAGAGAAGGGAACCCGGTGGTCGAGAAGAGGTGCGAGCGGGGCGCCTCTGAGAGGCCGGAGCGTCTCTGGGGCCGGAGCCGCTAGGGCAGGAGATGGGGCTTGTTTACATCCGAACGGGGGTTGGGCCATCATCCCTGAGGTGGGAGGGGTCTGCTTATATCCATATCCATAAACTTGGAGGGTGCATTTTTTTCATTTAAGGACGAGGCATACCCTCCTCCCATCTTCGGGGCCGTGCAGAACGGCTTTGTTTATCTAAGGATGACACGGGTCCCTGGAGGGGAAAGACCAGGAGGAGGTTGTTGATCTTTGGTATCTAGGGACTAAGAGCAATACAGGTATACTTGCTCATTTGTAAGGAGATTAATTTATAGCTAAGCCAAAACTAGACAGCATGCTGCAGGCTGCTTTTCCCCATACAGTAGTCTTGTAGGCTGAGGAATTAGGGAGTGGGGAAGTGGTATGGAACCTTGCAAGCAGTTGGGATGAACTACATTTAGGGTGCTGTGGATATCTATATTTGGACAACAGCCAAGTCAGAGGAAATGTGGGTGTATTTGTGTTTGAAGAAGTTATCTGGGGAAGATTAAATTGTGGTATTGGTTTGAATTGGTAAATATAGGCAACACCCAAAAGGGAAGTTTGTCAGGTAGATGAGAGTGCTGTGGTGGGTTTTTCTAATCTAATTCCCCCATACACTCCCTAAGACTGCTTCTCAGAATGGGGTAAATAACTCTGTGGCTTTCTCACCAGCAAGTTCCTAATGCTTTTTTGCTCCTGATCTTCTCTTAACAGACCTTCTTGCGAGTGAGGGCAAACAGACAGACCCGGCTGAATGGTGAGTGCAGCAGAAATCCTGTACCATTTTCCCCCTTGTTCCAAGATGAAGACTTTCATTATCTGGGCCTAACAAGTATAATGCTTCCTTTCTTTACAAGATTCCTGAACTAAATATGCCCCAAAGGGTTAAAGCTTCAAATCAATCATTTGTATTCCTAACACGTTTTGTTCCTCTCTGAACCCTGTCTTAAGTTGCTGCCCCTGGGTTACATTTATGTAGGCCTCCCAATGACATTGCTTTTCAGGCAGCTTGCAAACCTAAAATATAATGCGGTAAAGCAACAATTGCAGGAAATTATTGTCAGCAAAGGTAAGAGAGAGAATCATTTACTCAACATTATTAAAAACACACCATGTGGAAGCAGTAGATTACAGTTCAAAACTTTAAATAATCACAGATCTGAAAATGCTTGGGAGAATTATTTTTTTAAAGTATTTTACTTGGCATTGAAATGGCCATAAAGAGGTGGGAAGCAGGCCTCTCTGAGGAGGGCATGCCACAATTGGGGTACCACCACTTCTTGTTAAATGGCCTGGTTGATATTGCAAAGGAGAAATTATCAATGCCAAGTAGAAGAATTATTTTACTGCTTGCCGTTTTAGAAATAATGATTTTCTTATGGGTGTAATGAGATTAGTCTTTTTTCCCAATGGCATTGTTTTCACTTGCTTACCTGCTATAATCTTCAGCTGTCAACAATACCTGCTTACAGCTAAAAAATACATACAACTATAATTCCTGTTTGTTTCATTTATTACAACTTTTTTTTAATTCCACCTTTCTTTCAACATCCTCCCCCAATGCTGTTTTGAAACAATGTGCAGGATAAATGCCTTTAATATCTCACCTGGTTATATGGACCTGATACCTCAGTAATTTGCAACTTGGAGCTGAACCTAACTATTACTACTGTGTATGTAATAGCAGATTCCATAATTTTTGGTCTTAGGATAGACCTGCCTTCAGAGAAGTAATTAATTCAAGATGTATTTTGTAATTTTTATCCAATAGTACGTAAAACACAGTGTATTGTCACTAAGTAGGAATAATTTTTCAAACATTTTATATAGTGACCCTTTATTTTAATTGATTCTACTTCCACTGCCAGTGAACAGAAAAACATGTACTTTTATCATCTTTAATTTGGTCAAGAGTAAAGATTATGAAAATTCATCCCTGAGAAGTTAAGAGCAACTTTAAATTATCCTGACAGTGCAAGAGGAAATTTTCCTTGAATTCTTGAATGCCAGCAAGATTCAGAGCTGTAACATACTATGTTGGATAAAAGGAGAGAGCTCTTGAATTAATGAGGACTGTGCACTATGTAGTGAATACACGTGATCTGACTTTCACATACACAACTACAATATATTTCTGCTACTGAATAATTCTAGGATATGATTAATGAATACAATTGCAGTATTCTATTGATCATCTTGCAAATATTTCCTTAGGACACTTGGAGCTATTACTGGAAATGATTATAGCAGAAATGCTAATATTTTTCGAAAGAACATGATCATTGTTGAAAGCAGACCTAGGTTTTGCCAAATATATTGTATGTTGGCTGTATTTGGACATAATGCTAAACCAGCATTCCCCAACTGGTTGCCTCCAAATGCTTTCAACTTCATTTCCCATCTTCCCCAACCACTGAGCACGCTGGCTGGGGTTAATGGGAGTTGGCATTCAAAGAATCTGGTGAGCATCAGATTGGAGAAGGCTGTGCTAAACCATGGTCTTGCATTATAAGAACAAACCTCAGTAAACCTTGGGCCAGTATACCCAACCCTCCCCTCTGGCTTGGCTATAACAGGAAGATCATCACCAGTTTAACATGTTGTGTAAACCATAAGCTGTCATTAGTTTTAACTGTGGTTGGCTTAAATAAATTATCATCACAGATGTATGATATGAAGTTGTCTTGTTTCCACTAACTATAGTTTGACCTAGTTCAGAGGACACAGCAATCTGCAATGCATCTAAAACCAGCATTGAAAGTTTCCAAACTCTTCTGCATGGCTGTGGTAGTGATAGGGGCATGAGTCCTGGGCAACCTGTTGTTCATTCTCACAATGCTAAAGTGTGGTTTAATATTGCATCTAAACCATTTCATTGTTTCTGTGTTAGATCATTGTGAGTGTTTGGTGTCCCATCATAAACACATCACTTGCTCTTCTTCCTCATTATCTTTACTAACTGCTGTGTTGTGTTAATTGTATATTTTGTGATATTTGAAGAACAGCTAAAGTTATAGGATAGTTGGGAGTCTAAAATCAGCAAGGAAAAGACTGGAGCTTGGGTCTTAAGTCCTACAGTGCTTTGATTTTGCTTTGATTTGTTAAGTCACATAACATACAAGATTCACATTCCTCTTTCAGTCCCCCACCCCACCTTTTCTATATACCTGAACACCATTACAGTTTCATTCTTTGGAATACTGTTATTAGTCAAGCAGAACTAGCCCAGCCACAAGATTAAGTAACAATAATGATTATCTGCCTAGGATTAGCAATATATGAGTAGTTCACAATCCTTCAGTTGGAGATTGCTTTACACTTGCTAAACAACTTAATCAACTCTTGTATTTTTGTTCATCCTTCCTTCAGGTTATTTTTAGTCTAGATTGGCACTTTCTGTAGACATAGGCAGTTCATTTATCTTTTTACTTTGGGGTTCCACTGAACTCTCGGGATAGAAATCTGTCATTGAGACTGTATTTTGCCACACCACTGTTTCCAAAGTCTCTCTCTCTTTGTAGTCTTTTACAAGGACTTGGTCAAGATGTCTTTGAAGATCCAGGTGTGGTAAAATTCTCTTTGCAGATCCTCCCCTTCAACCAACTCATTTTTTTGGAAAATCAGTAACACTTCCAGCAACACAGAGGTTATTGTAAAGAGACTAGAAATCAACTGATCTCTGCCGAGTGGAGGAAGTGAGTAGATTAGCTTGCTGTTCCTACCTCTATACTTTATGTGAATGGGCTAATGTCTGTACCTTGGAGAGTGCTGTTGCAAACTCATTCCCATGGAGACACTATAGAACAGAGTATTGGATTAGATGGGCTTTTGGCCTGATCCAGAGGCGGACTGTTATTATGGTTTCAGCTGATGGTCTAAAGCTGATGGAATGCACTCTGCGTCACTGAAGTCATCTGAGCCTCAAGGGACAGCAAAGGATCCAGAAGCACCACCAAGATGTATCCGCTCCTTGAGAGGGAGTATAACCCCATCAGGAGCAGGCAGCTTCTCTTTCATCTAGTCTAAGGAACTACCCACTAACAATGCCTTTGCCTTATCTGGATTGAGGTTCAGTTTATTGGCTCTCACCCAATCCATTGCCGAGGCACGACAACAGTCCAGCACATCCACTACCACACCTGCAGATATAAAGGAGCAGCAGAGCTGTAAGTCATCATCAGATTGCTGATAATGTACTTCAAAACTCTGGATAACCCCAGTCAGCAGTTTCATGCAGATGTTAAAAAGCATAGGGGATAAAATTGAACCCTGAGGAACCGCACACTGAGGGCTCCACATTGCTAAAGAGCATCTCCCAAGCATCACCCTCTGGAAACAACCATCCAAGTAGGACCAGAACCATCACAAATTGGTGCTGCCCACCCCTATCTCGGACAGCTGCTCTAAAAGGAGATTCTGTGTGATGGTATCGAAAGAAGCTGAGAGATCAAGGAGAATTAACAGGAACACATTTGCCCTGCTTTTCTCCTGACAGAGATAATCATACAGAGTGGTCATAGCAGTTTCTGTGCCAAAACTGGGCCTAACCACCATTTGAAATGGATCTAGAAAATCAGGTGAATAGAAGGCTTTGCCTGTACTAGATATTGCATAAGATAAAACTTACTTTTATGTTTCTTTTGTTTGTTTCTACTCTCTGTTCCATGACTTGGTCAAAGGCCTTAGAAGGTCCTTTATGAGAAGCCATGTTAGAAGAGTGCTAGTTTTTTTGGTGGGTTTTTTTAAAAAGTGGGATGCAAATCTATGCAGATCACAATAGCTGACTCTCTTCATTTTCCTGTGCCTCAAATAATTTAGCAAATAGTGATAGCTGCAAAGGGTGCACCACCTCTTTATTAGCAGAATTAGAGGTGTTGGAAAGATATGTCTTTGAAAAATCTTTGACCTTGATATTGCTTCCCACTTAGAGTAGTTGTATGCAAAGATGGCGGTGGTAAATTACACATATCAAGGGGTGCAACAGCAGATCTTTAAGGATGGGCAGCTTCACATGAGACAGTCCTTCATGTAGCTTGGTTTCAAGCCGTTTAGAGTTTTATAGGTAACAACCAGCACTTTGAATTATGTTCTGAAATGGATTGGAAATTAATGTTGCTGATGGAATAAAAGGTTCACATGATCCCATCACTTTGAAGTGATGAAGAACCAATGTGATCATTCCTCAAATACAATCATGCACACTCTACCAAACATAGGACCTTCATTTTTACTTCATGAAAATAAACTCTAGTTTGCCCAGTAACTCTCAAACCTTGCTTCAAGCTGTCAGTCATGAACATTTCAGTTTGTTTTTGTGTTTGACTTGGACCAATCCCACCTGTTCTGAAGCAGAACAGAACAATGCTGGAAAGAAAAAAAGACAATTTTTGTCCAGTGCTCAGATCCCTATATTCCCATAATTATTCACATAAATTGTCATGGCTATTTGTCACTAAAAAAAAAATTCTTATAGACTCTAGAGTTAAAAAGAAAAGAAAGAATGGAAGAAAGCATGCAAAATGTATATAATGTGAGAGAAAAATGCAAGGTCTAGTTATAAGAATGCCCAAATAATGTAAATACCACTCTATTAATTAGTTGTAAAGTAACATGTTTTAGTGGTCACATTTGCACCAAGTTTTAGAAAATATATGAAGAACTATTAATGAAGAAAAAGATACTAAAATTAAATATTTGGCATTTTTAAATGATTAAATTAAAAAATTGGCATTTTAAATTATTTAAATCAATTCACTCTGACTAAAGTAGGTCTTAATATCCAGAAATCCTAATGCATCTCACAACAAACTGTTCAGGTACCTTGTTAGACCTCATATCAGCACTGTACTTGGGACATGCATGCAGTCTTGTCCAGCACAAGAAACTGAAATGGAGAGGACTTGAACCAGTAATGATTGGCAAGCGGTCAGGACTGAGTGAGGAATCTGCCAGCATTGCCTCTTTAGCAGCAGCAGGCTGATGGAATCTACTCTAGAAGCTTCAGGATGAATAAATGGATAGACAAAACAAGTTAGGGGGTTAGAAGTGATATTGACTGGGCCTCTTTAGCACAACTGGGTCCCTAGGATAGATGGCGTGCAGAGTTCAAGCTTGGGTTTTTGTGCATAAATGGCAGACAAAACATAGATCAAGCATATACAAGATAGGTATGTAAGAGAACTCAGTATGAATTCCATGCTTCCACCCAGCAGCTGAGCTCAGCTTCAGAAGAGTTCCAGGGATCTGCTGCACATTACACATGGAGGCATGGCAAGATAAAGGCAGGGGATTTGTGAGAAAATGAAGCAGAATAAGAAAAGACTTCAGAAAAGGAGGAGTGCTCCCATGCCCAGTAAGAATCATGAGAAGCCTACTTGTTTCCTAGAAAGACCTGTCAATCAGGAGCATAACACATGATAAACTCCCTTAATAGAGCAAGAAAACAAGAGCCAGATAAACATGTCAGTAACATAAAACATGTCAGTAACATAAAAGATCGAACTAAGCATTAGTTCTTCTATCTATGAGAGCCAGTGTGCTATAGTGGTTAAGAGTGGTGGACTCGTAATCTGGGGGACCGGGTTCGCATCTCCGCTCCTCCACATGCAGCTGCTGGATGACCTTGGGCTAGTCACACTTCTCTGAAGTCTCTCAGCCCCACTCACCTCACAGAGTGTTTGTTGTGGGGGAGGAAGGGAAAGGAGAATGTTAGTCACTTTGAGACTCCTTCAGGTAGTGATAAAGCAGGATATCAAATCCAAACTCCTCCACCTCCTCCTCCTCCTCCTCCTCCTTCTTCATCTGCAATACGTCAAGGACCACCTCTCTCCATATGAACTTACTTGGACCCTGAGATCATTTTCTGAGGCCCTTCTTCATGTACCTCCTCCACAAGAGGTCTGAAGGGTGGCAACACGAGAATGGGCCTTTTCTGCAGTGGCTCCCCATTTGTGGAATGCTTTCCTCAGGCTGGCACCTTCATTATACACTTTTAGGAGCCAGGTGAAAATGTCCCTCTTTAACCAGGCCTTTGGCTGAGTGACATCTGATGCTCTTTAAAAGTATGTTTTGGAAGTGGGGATTATTGAGGAGTTTGTGTTTTTATTATGTATTTTGTGTCTTTTATGTTGTGATTTTATGTTGTGAACTGCCCTGAGATCTACAGGTATAGGGTGGTATACATTTTATAAATAAATAAATTGGATCAACAAAATAGATGAGTGCTCAATGTGGAAGGGCAGGTCTCCCCCTGTATTTTAGGGTCCAGGCATAACAGTGCAGCTGAAGTAACTTTCTGCTGCAGGTCAAGGGCCAAAGTCAGTGTAGTCCAGGGTGAGCCACGGCCATAATGAAGAGGGAAATTTGGCAAGATAGATTGCTTGACATTATGGACACGCTGGTGCACTGGCATCATTACTGTAATATAAGTGGCCTCCTTGCATCCTGGGTGAGAACTGGAATAAAGAAGCTTTTTTTAGAAGAGATCCGCACTTAAATGAGGGACATTTAAGTGAAAGTCTTTTTTTCATGCTGTTTTATATTCAGATTTTTTTTTTTAAAAAAAAGCCCTGTGACTTAAGGGTAAGGAAAAATCAACCCAGCCCCCCTCTTTGCTCCTGCGACAGGAATACAGGGGAGAAGGATTAGCGAGCTAATTAGAAATGATTGCATCTATCAGCACTAATTAACAATACTGTGGTCTCACTTGTGTGTTCTTTTGAGCTGTTCTCCTTCGGGACAGCTCAGCAGTTGCCCCCCTTCCTCTGGGGCTCCTCCATCCCTCCTACGTTGATTAGAAGTGATAGTTGAGCTCTATAGTAGCAATTGGAAATTCTGTTCAGTGGCTTTCAAACAGCCCCCGTTTTTTCTCTCTCACACTCCAGATCCACCTCTGCCTGTATCAAGCTACTGCAAAAGGTGTTGGAACAGAAACTTTTTGTTAGCTCTTCTTCACTCCATTTACACTTTTGTTCATGCTGCTCTTACTTTGTGAGCAAAGCAATTTTTCTTTGCCCAGTGTCTCATGGGTCTCTAAGGTGGACTGTGTTGCTTAGAGCCCCTAATGCTCTTATTTGCTGGATGTTGTTGAAAAGTTTGCCAGCCGAGGCACAAAAATCCTTTGCATTAGTACTGTGTGTGTCATGATAGCACACAAGCAATGATGGCAGAAAAATCTGCTGACGTATAACCGGTTCAAAAAGATTAAGGATCAGTATAATGACAGGTCTAAAAGTTTTGCAAGGGCACTTAAAATTCAAGTTTAGTTTTTCATTAAGTGGACTTTTAAGTTTATAGAAATGATTATTCATGGACCCTGAGTTTTTATGAAGTGGTTTTCAAGTTCTGTTTCCGTTATTCTCACACCAGACTTATGGAATAAGTTACATTATGTCCATAGGGTTTGCAGTAAAATGTTTTACAAATCATGCCACTGGGAGTCAACAGGGAATGTTGCCCCAGCTGCTCCTTGAGGGCAATGAGAAATATTTCTGAAATCCAGGTGGTTCGAACCATGCCTCATACATATTGAGGATCTGAGCGAGTATGACATCGGAGGGGAGTCGTTATTGGCTCTGGATTTGGTAGTTGAGACCCACAAATGCAAGTCAGGTGGGTAAGACATACAGATTTAGGACAGATTTGCAAATCATATTCCTTGGGTGAATTAGGATTACCTTCACTTGCCAAAGTGAGAGAGCCCTGTGTGCAGCTTCTTGTGGGAGGGCTCTTGCTTCCACCTTGGAGAAAATGGGAAAGAAAAGTCCAAGAAAGCAACCTCTCTAACAGAGACCTGCTGAAGATGGAGCTGCAGTCAGGAGATAGTGCCTGAAACTGTTTCCTCTTCCTCGTTTCCCAGAAGTGTGAGAGAAGTAGTTAGGTGTGCCCCATCCAGAATGGACTATCTCTCTTCAGAAGGCTGCATCAACTCTTCTCATTCCTGTACTCATTCCCACATACCAGAAAGGAGCTTTGTTATTCTAAACACAGTGCGCTAGCTGTTTAGACTTGCCCTCTTTTGTCTCCCTTTCCCTGCTGGAGAAGGGGGGACAGAAATTTTAGGTCCTCTTAGCTCCACTTCAAGTATGATGGAGTTGGCTTTTTTGTTTCTTGAGAGAGTGTTGTAGTTCTAAGTATAGGAGGGAGAAAGTGGGCAGGTGCCCGTTAGCACTACACTGTATAAACAGCCTAGTGATAATGGTAGCTGCACCTCTCTGCCCTGTGTTCTTCAGGTGGGGAGAGGAGCTCTAGAGTAGTTGGAGTGAGGATAGTGGGGATGGCTCAGGCAAATGGATTGCAGGTGGATGTCTGATCCTCCTCTGCTGATTAAATAGCCTGTGTTGCCAGCCCAAAGTGCTTGAATTTGCTTATATGTTAACTCCAGAGAAAAAGGCCCCAAACAGAAAAAAAATTAATACCTTTATTGAGTCAACATTGGTCTGGTTAAAAGCTTTTGCTGGGTTCCTGTATTGCCTCCTTGGATTATGACTAAAAGCCTACCCTGCTTATGGCATTTGTCTTACTTTCCAGTGCCTCCCTTAATTTAGTTTTTGGGTCCTTTCTTCCCACTTGGTGTGTGCAGCATCTCGTTCTCGCAGTGCAGTTGCAATACATTACAATTTCTGCAGCAAACTGGCAGGCTCATAATGTCAATAATTGTTACTGCATTAAGTGACTTCTCTGTCATGTCATCTCTTGTTACTACACAGAATATCCTTGGGCTCTTATTTTGGTCTCTGTCAGAATTCTGACCTTCCTTATTAAGTTGTTCATTTCCCCTGTCTGTGATTGAAATATCTGATAATATTTGCTTAAAGCCATCTCTCTTAATGATCAATGTTGTTTTAATGCAAATTTTTCAGATGTTTTGTCCACATTTAATGAGGGTTCAAATTAATCAGCAGTTTGGTAAAGGAAAAAGTTCACCAGAGGGGCATGTCTCTTGAGCCTACAATAGAATTTTCTCCCCAAAAAGCAAACTTCAAGCTCCATAATTGGAATTACTTGTATATATTCTGCATTGCTTCTGCTTGTAGTCATTTTGGGATGAGATGTAGGAGATTAGGGATAGAATCTGAAATTGTAGGATTGAGCAAAGAGTACAAATAGGGATAGAGGGACATGGTGCTGTTCTAAGTGAAATCTTTTGAGCACAATTAAGTCCAGTATAGTCCTGCTGTGATTTCTAAATATTTACTGGAAACTGCCTGTGTGTGTTTGGGTCTTTTCTCCATATTTCAAAGCCTGCTTACCTTTTAAGCAGAAGCTCTCTTTCATAATTATAGAAATCATTTTGACGGAAACCCTTCTTTCTGACATCTTCACAGCTGTGCAGATTACTAGGCTCTTGGGGCTTCCCATTTATACTGATTGGTGTCTTTTCTTAGAGCAAGCTTCAGGTAGTCATGTTAGTCTGCAGAAGTGTTTTGTGGCATCTTTTATAGCAGTTTGAAAACTGTTCTCTAGTCAGTATATTGTAAAACACAACTATTGAATAAGTCTGATTAGGAACAATGGAGGCAAAAATAAAATTGATGACTTATCCTAGGGTGGATTCAGGAGGCGAATAGGACCCAACTAGTATCTTCATCCCGACAGTGTGGGTTTTGTATTTGCAGGAGATGCTGAACATGGAAATAGTGGTTCTTAGGCTTTCCCAGGGGAGGAACAGTATTACAGTGGTGCCCCGCAAGACGAATGCCTCGCAAGACGGAAAAACCGCTAGACGAAAGGGTTTTCTGTTTTGAAGTTGCTTCGCAGGACGAATTCCCCTATGGGCTTGCTTCGCAAGACGAAAATACCTTACGAGTCTTGAGATTTTTTTCGCTTTCCCCCTTTATCTAATCTGCTAAGCCTTTAATAGCCTTTAATAGCCTTTTAGCAGCTAATCCCTAAGCCTTTAAGCCTTTAATAGCCGCTAAACCGCTAATAGCGCTAATAGCGCTAATCCGTCAATGGGCTTGCTTCGCAAGACGAAAAAACCGCTAGACGAAGACTCTCACGGAACGGATTAATTTCGTCTTGCGAGGCACCACTGTATAAAGATAATGGAATCAGATATGCCCTTTTGAGGGCAAGGCACTTGGTTTGTGTTTGACTTAATTTCTACTGTGCCGTGAGGATGGTCGCTGTTTTTGTTCACTAGGGGGGCATTTGGTTAAATTCATTAAAGGTTCTGTAACTGCACAAGATGAAACTTGAGCACAGCTTCTCAAGATGAAGCAGGTGGAGTGTGGTGGGGAGGAAACCACTGAGGCTCGGTGGAGGAAAGAGCAAATGTTTGCCTTGAAACCTTGCATCTATATCACACTCACTCTTTGTAGCTTTCAGTTATTCATATTGTTTAATACCTACAAAGCACCTGCAGTTTTAAAGTTCCCTATATATCTTAAAATAAGCTCACAGATTCACAGTCTTAATAGACATAATACAAAAGAAAAAAAGAAGGGAGAAGCAAGTGAGCATTGGAGCAGCAGGTCCTTTATTGGCCAATGGATGGGGCCAGGTTGGTCTCCCCATTGCCAGTGTTCTTTCTGAAAGGCATGAGATGAAGCCTCACAGGGGCTCTAGGCTTCCTGGCTGACATCAGAAACTAGTATGTTCTTCCCTTTGGTTCCTCAGTCACTGGGCAACTATATAACCCATTGTGTTTTTCTTTTCTCTCTGCTTTCCTCGCATAGCTCGGATTGGAAAAATGAAACGGAGGAAGCAAGACGAAGGACAGGTATGTCCCCTCTGCAGCCAACCTCTCTCAGGATCCGAGGAGGAGAGGAGTAGGCATGTCGAACAATGCCTTGCAAAGGTAGAAGCACTGAGGGAACCCTACTGCCTCTCTCTCATTTCTTCCTACCCTCTGCTACTCCTGTGATCTGGGTAGAAACCAAATTTGCAGATTGAAGTCCACATGGCCATGTAGATCTGTACTTGAGTTCTATCTTGAAGTTTGGAGTTCTGTCTTGAAGTCTGGATTTGGCAATCTCATTACTCTAAAGACAGTTTTCCTAACCTTTCAAATGAGAAGGGATAGCAGGTGCTATTTTTGACTGTTAACTAGGAGACCGCCTGGCTTACTGCTAGACTTTGGTTAATCAGACAACTGTGGTTTAACCAAAATCCAGTAAAGCTCAGAGATGGACATAGATTGGAGAGAAGATGGTTATCAGAAAGTTTCTAATAGACAGTAGTTTTTCTCCCTCATATAATAACTAGAATCCTCAGTCATCCTATGAAAGTGAATATGATGCAGCACATAGTTAATCTGCAGAATTCTCTGCCACAGGATCTAATGATAGCCATCAACTTGGATGGCTTTAAGAGGGGATTAGAAAAAATCAGGATAAGGCTTTCAGTGGCTACTAGTCATGATGGTTTTGTATTACCTCTGGTATCAGAGGCAGCATGTCCCTGAACACCAGTTGCCCACAAGTGTGTTCTTGTCCTGCTTGCAGGTTTCCCTGTAGGAATCTGGTTGGCCACTGTGAGAACAGGATGCTGGATTAGATATGCCTTTGGTCTAATCCAGCAGGTTTCTTCTTCTGTTCTCTGATTTTTGAAGGAGGTGTTTATTTTTTAGTGTGGGGTTGGGGGACTCTGGTAGTACAACTGCACAGTATTAACGTTCTGAGCTGATTTCACTTAGGTTCTGGTCTTCCTGCAGGATAGGTGACACTACTCCATCAACCTATCATTCTGGTCATGGTGGCTTTTATAGCAGCCTCTGATACAGCTGACTGTGGACTTCTGTTTTTCAGTTAACATACATTGCTGGCATAACTGGAGTTGCCTAATGGTGATTTGAACCATATTTTCAGGGTTGGAGTAAAACTGGCGATAAGATGATTAAGCATTGCCCTTGAAATGGAGCATTCCTTGAGGTTCTCTCCTATTGGCTGTATTGTTTGGTGTATTTGTGTAGTCCTGCCAGTGCTATATTAATAAATAAAAGTATTTTTGTAGCAGCACCTTCATACACTTCAGGCTGTGCTAAAGAGTTATCCAATAGCAACAGCGATCCTGAAACTTGATGTAGAGTGTTACCCTTTTGCTCCTAGAAGAGTTGCAGCTCCAGCTCCACTTTTTTGCCTTATCTAACTTTCTAGTTTTGCCTAGTTCAAATAGTTTCTAAATTTGAGACATACTTTCCACACAGTAGCAAAGCTTATATGTGTGAAAGAACTTAATTCCTTTCATTGCAAGGAAGTATAGTTTTGATCAGAAACTGAATTGGGAAGTCTTGAATTCAAATTTGGCCATGAATTCAGTATTTGGCCTTGGGCAATAATGTCACAGCCTCTGTCCCTATGGTTAAATGGGATACTCACCTCATCCCACACTACCTTGGGGGAGCCAGTAATATAAAGTGAGCACTCAATAAGCAGCAATGAATGTGGATGACATTCTTTTCCCTGCTTCGTTAGCTTTTGCCAGTACCCTGTGTCAACATGTGCTTGCCACTTTGTCCACGATTAGCTTTGTCTATACAGCATGCATTGACAGGAATACTACCTACTAGCACCGTTTTTAACCCAGGACACTGAAATGATGCTTGGTGCTTTATTCTTTTCGCTTAATAGAGGGAAGGCTCATGCATGATGGAGGATGATGCAGTGGACATTGAAAATGAAAATGGTAATCGCTTTGAAGAATATGAATGGTGCGGGCAGAAGAGGATACGTGCCACTACTCTCCTGGAAGGGGGATTCAGAGGTAAGCGGGGCATTGTGAGGATTGCTGAGATGTGCTGCCGACTGAACAGTGCCCAGATCCCCTCCCTATCATCCCAAGAACAAAACAGATTGCTAATATTGGAGCTATTGCCCTCCAAACTGTAGCCCAGGCTAAGGGCTCTTTCCCTCAGCAGTTTTTGTTCATGCATGTATACCCCCAAAAGTTATTCCCGTGACAGACATACTGTCTTCACAATGACAACATGTGGATGCTGATGACGGTTGAAGCAGCTTGTCATGCATGTGTGACTCTAAAGGAACATGGATGTAAATTCATCCAGAGAGTTGGCTTTCATCATAGTAATGATCTGTGGTATTAACATTAACAGAAATTTTATGTTATTTGTCTCCTGCCAGAAAATGCATTCACAAAAAGCAATCATACCTTACAAGATCAAGATAGTAAAGTTGCTTTTGTAAATTTCCCTTTGTAATTCTTAACTGTTAGAGATTGCTTAAGGGAAGTGACTTTGCTGACATGGTCAGGAGGGAAAATGTTTTTTCCCCATTCATTGCATCACTTGCCATTGGATGTTTTTTAAACTGTGTAACAGGCCAGGTGCTTGCTTCTCAGTGTAGGTGGGAAGTTGCACTTCTGCCAGCACCAATATTTATTTTCCTATGGCTATGAAAACAGCATAAAATAGTAGTAGTTATGAGTAAAACCCTGCTTTAATTAGCCTTTGAGGAGGAAATGTGGCCCAAAGTTGGGAGACAACAGGAGCAGCTACAGGACAATCAGTTTCAGCAATATTGTGCATATTTTTAAAAAATGGAAGTGGAGAATGAAATTGTAAAAAGCCCCAGTCTGGAGTGACGAAAGCTGGTTTATCAGCCGCTGGTGATGTATGGAAGTTGACAGCTAAGTCACTTTAGCACCTGCATAAAATATTAAAGGGCCGGTTATGCATTTATCACTCCATCTTTTTTAAGGCTGATAAATGAGAATTCAGCAACCTGCCATACACCTCCAGCACTGCAGCCCTCAGGGCTCCCAGACAAACACATCTTATTTTTCCTCCTTCTATTCCTTCCCCTGTGACAGGAAAATCGGCTGCAAAAGAGAGAATGAGTTATGGCAAAATGTGACCTTTGTGAGTTTTATTGGTGAATGTAATTTTAGCTGTGCACCTGACTCCTTTCTTACATTCAGCCTTTTGCTCTGTGTCAGAATTGACTAAACTGTCTGGTGTGAACATTGTGATTCTGTAGAAACAGTGTTCCACCCTTCCTTGACCAGAGAATCTAGTACATTGCCTCATCAAAGTAAAAGTTGGCATCCTCTTGTATTTTCATAGATTGCCCTGGATTCTAATTTAAAATATCCCAAGGAAAATCCCACTGGGAAAGGAAATCAGGCTTAAAAGATGCATGAGTTACTAGGGCTTATAAATGATGCTCTTTCTTTCCTGTTTTCCTTCACACTTTAGTCTATGGATAAATCTGTACAAAAAATAGATAAATGAGACTTGAGAGGTAAGCAGCACCATGACAGATATTCAGGAGTTCAGCCATATGGGGAAAGTATATTCTTTTAGCTACCAATATATTCAGAATTTTGTCTACTGAATTGCAGTAGACAAATAATTTTTTGCTGTCCCGTGGGTTCCTTGCACCCACAAATTTTATTCATAATTCTCATTCAGCTGATTGACTGTTGCAGGAATGTGTTAACTTTTCAGACCCTGGCTAAGCCTATGGAGTTGGTCTTCCTATGCGCCCCGAGGTCTGGGAGACAGAAGCAGTTAAGTTCCTACGTAACCAGGAATGTTGAGCAGTCTGCACTTTTGTGCACAGTCTTAGCATGGAAAACATAGGCAGCTAATGTAAATTATCCCTGTCTTGTTTTTGAAGTGGAAATATGGACGCTCATCAGTCATTTTCACTGCTGTTTTGTACCCTTTCCTGAAATACTTTGGATTAGTTTCTCAGCCATTTTGATAGGGATTATCATTTTGCTTGTTGGCTTTGTCAATTAAGGAGCAATGGAAGCCATTTAGATATGTGTAAAGAAGCAAAATCTACTCTCCACATATTCCCTGGAGTGTTTTCTTGATCAATCTATTGGCTTGTTTTTACCACATGATGTTTCTAAGCTATTGTCTCATTGTGATAGGTTGAGACAGGATTATTTGCATTGGGTTCTGCTGTTGCAGTGTTAGAAGATGATGCTAAAAATGACTGAATAAGGTATTCCATAGTGGATATATTTGAAAAGTGTAATTCCACACTTTATAAAGTGGAATAGTAACTTTTGTAGCCTTTAAGGCCTAATTCACCTTTAACATAAGAGTTCACTTATATTGACCATGTTTGGACTCAACACTTGGCCATAAAGTGCACATAGGTCCTGCTATCGGAAGGCTTGCCATCTGAAATTTCAGTCATCTGAACACAAAAAATTACACCCAAACCTTGCTGCCCAAGTACTTCATTCAGTTATCTAAATAGCTGGAGTTTGCTCATTTCCTTGCTTCTTTGTGTTTTGCTGGTCAGTGGCAGCCATTTTGATTAGAAACCAGGGACGAACGGAGGAAGGGAAAGAGATTGGGACAAATCAAGGAGCAGGAAAGACTGTCTTTTGCTAGTTGGCTGCAGCAGTTTGGGGTGGAAACCAAGGAGAGAGGGCGATCAGACAATTCACAGATTTGAAATGTTCCCATAGGAAATAATGTAAATAATCAGCTCATTGTGTGGTTGCTTGCCTAATGAATGATTTCCTGGGGACCCATTGTGTTCAGATAGCAAGACCTGCATGTATAGATATGTGGATTAGTATGTTCATAGATGTGTGTTTGTGCATGCAGTTCAAGCACTCACTGTTGTGGTCCTCTCTTCTCAAAGCTGGGAAACAACTTGCAGAACTGCTGGCTTAGCGTCATGTCCAAACTAGCTCTTGTGGCTTGTTTCTTATTAACAAACCACCACCAGGAACCCAAGGGTAGTTCTTTATTTCTTGATTATAGTTTATTTGAGATAAAGCAACCAGGTGCATTGGTTCAGGTTTTAGTTCAGCTGCTGAATCAGATGCTTCTTGGTTTGTTTGCGTGCACCTGGAAGGGAGGAATGAAGTGGGAAGTGCTTGATTTGTTTAAATGTGGTTTATGGCCATCATTGCATCCTAACATGACCATTGTGTGAGAGAGAGAAAGTGTGGGGATACAAGAGGCCTGATAGAGCTAGATGGGCTGTGAGGACAGAGCTTAGACCTAAGAAACAGGGCGCTTGGTAGTACAATCCATACACTTTACCAGTTTCCACTTTCAATAAGGTAAGAAATATGATACAGCTGTTTGTAGTAATCGGTTAGCTTGATGTGTTCTCCCCTTGAATTTAGGTTAGTGCAGGCATAGGCAGACTCAGCCCTGCAGATGTTTTGAGACTACAACATTTACAATAACACTTGAGGAAGAGCTGAAACAGAACTACACCCCACCCCACCCCACCCCACCCCGGTTAACTGGAAGGAGGCATGGTTAGAACGGTGAATTATGCAGAGGTACAGCAACACCCTCTATGTGGGTGACACTTCAGGGCAGCATTCCCCAACCTGGTGGTCATCAGATATTTTTGGACTACAACTTCCATTAGCCTAGTGGCTACCAACTTTTTTTGACCACTAGGTGCATTTAAATTTTTGAGTGGGTTTGTAGGTTATTCACAGAACAGCATGTCACCACGACATAGAGGAAGTAAAGGTGGAATCCAACATAGTACTAAGTCTCTCATTCAATCAACACAAGACTTTCTCCTTGCACAAAGGAACCTTCTCCCCCTGAACATACCCTAAATTTATTCTATGGGTTCCCCCCACTCTCTGGAGCAGATTTAGGAAAGAGGGGAATGTCCCATTGAACAAGTTGAAATCCTTGCATTGATAGGGCATGGTAGTTGAAAACCACCCTAAGTGTTCATTTTGTTTGACAGTCTAAATATTTACAGGTTGGACAATAATAAGTATACATGATACTTTTGTGACATTTGTAATACTTGACCTAAAAACTACATTTCTCTATTATTAGTTTTTTACATAGAAGAGTACACTTAATTCAGTCCCTCACTAAGGGTTATGAATTCAGTGTTAAGAGAATATATAATTTAAGATGTAATTTTAAACTGTTTTTAAGGGGCACACTGTGCCTGATATTTAAAAAACTATGATTTAAATAATAACATTTGACAGGAAAAATAGTGGGGCGGGGCGTACATTGGTTGGTTCAACTAGTGCTTTACCAACAGTTTTGATTTCTGGATGCTGAAACTTGGGAGTGTTAGGCATAGTACAGCAGCAAACTGTGCCCAGGTTGGAGAATTCAGACTAATCTCACAACATTGTAAAGTTTTGTTGGAGACTCCCCAGTCAGTGGGGCCTGAATTTATATCTACTGAGCTTGATGAAGAATTGTTCCTGTGTTCTGCGTCTAATGCTCCAGCCTCCATCCCACTTGCTGAAATGCGGGAGGCACTGGGTTTCTTCTCACTTTTTCCCCCCTTTTAAATTCCCTGCATTTGTAGCAATCCCTCACTTGTTCTAAAGAACAGCTACTCATTTACTCTAGCTGTTTACATTGCAAGGTTATCCCTTTAAAGAATTGCAGAGAGAAGTTGGGGGGGGGTGGAATGCCTTTTTTTCTTTGAAAGCTTAGCAGTTTTGTCTGTGCGTCTGTTATTTGTGAGTGGGAGGGAGGAAGAGCGGGTGAGAAAAAAGTGCTTTATCCGAAAAGAATCATATTGGCTTTGTGCTGATAGAGGCTGCTGTCATCTCTTAAACGGCTTAGCCCAGTCAAAAGGCTAGCGGACTTAAAACAGTGTCTTACACGAGGATCGATGGAGAAAACACGGCAGTGGTAACTGTGAGGAAAAAAGGGTGAATGCAAGAGAGATAACAGTAATGATTGCATGGAGGGGAGCTGGAGGCAGGCTTGTTCTTTGTAGGAACCTTGCTTCAAAGGAGTCTGAGCTGCCTGGTCCCCAGGATGTTGCTGCCTCTGTGTATCTAGGAAGAGAGCCCAAGCCCCTCCCCCTTTGCTGGAGCAAATGGGCTAAGTAGATTAAAGCATGATAGGTTATCTCTTCCCCCTATGTTGTATCACTTTTAGGAGATTTTTTGGTCAATCAGCATATTGTGTCATTCCTTTAGCCAAAGGAGGTGAGTTGGTGTTGGGGAGGGGGGTAAGAGTCTAAACTGCACAGTGAGGGAGCCATTGGGAAAGGGGGAGTTGGGCGGAGGGGGGGTGAAACGGTATGTCAGTTTATCGATCGCACCTCAGCCAGGAGAGCTGCAGGCACAGCTATGCGGGCACGAGCAGCAGCACTCCTAATGTGATTGAAAGGCAGTTAAAATGGCGGTGACCTTTTCAGGGGGAATTAGATTGCCTGCCAAGAGTGGTTAGAGGGAGTGATAACGCCAGCTTGAGGAAGCTGTCCAGGCAACTTCAAAGAGAGAGAGACAGAGACAGGAAAAGCAAGTGAGCGCAAGTCCCATTTAAACTCTGAGCTGTACTGTCTGATAGAGCCAAGATTGCTGTCCTCTCTAGATATGAAGGGTTTGAAGAATGTAGTCAAGTTCCCTGTCCTTGCCCTTCCTGCACTGCACCACCTTGTCAACGAAAGCAACAACTGGCCAGCTGTCTATTCACCTGACACTCTTGGGGATTTCAGTTGCCTTGAAAATAATACACAGAGGCAAAGCCCTAATGACTGAAAGACAGTATGCAAGGCTTCCTAGAAGAGTGATTACTAGAAACCTTCCTATGAGGAACTGTGTGGTATGTTCTGAATTTGGAAGGTCTTTCACTTACAAGCAATTCAAAGGTGCTGGTGTTCCTACTAAATGAGAAACCCCATTGTTCTTGGTGTTCCAGGTTTCTTTGTCAAAAGATTACTAACCAGCTGGGTGGCTCCTAAATTGAGCCTTCATGGCCAGAGGCAGAATCCTTTGGAGTACCAGATACTGGGGCCAACAATGTAGGGAGGTCATATCTTGCCGTTCAGCTTCATGGGGGCATCTGGCTGGCCTCTGTGGGAAGCAGGATACTGGACAAACCTGTGACCTTATCTAGTAGACCTTTTCTTAATTTGGAGATTGAAGGACTGGCTCAGGAGCCTAACTTCTGTGCCAGAGCAAAGTATTTAATAGATGGTATTGTCACCTACACTTGTTATGACTATTTGAAGAGTCAGATGAATTGCTTGGCATTTCCTGCAGATGGCTGTCATCCCACTCTTGGCTTACAGCCTGTTTCCCCCTTTAACTTCAAATGCTTTTTGCTCTGAGCACTGATGTCACAGCAGACGTTTTGCAAAATAAACTGCAGAAGTGGCACCACAACCAACAACAATAGTGATTGTACTTTTATGTGTGTAGAATCCAGAAGCATGCAAAGTAGGTATCTAGGAGTGGCACATGTCTGTTCCTACAGTAGGGGGAAATACAATTATGATACGTAATAGTTTTATAATATGAACATTCATGGAAACCCTGCACTTGACATATGGAAATGCATAGTCTCATCTCACTCAAGCTGTTTTGTTTTCTAATCATTTTGAAATAATCTGCCTCTAGCAAAATGTGGATGTCATACAGTTGTTCTGCTAGGAATCTTAAAATATACAAAGGGTGACATCCCGCCTACTTTCTTTTGAAATTACTAGCTACATTTTCTTGTTTTTCCCCCTCTGGAGCACAAATAGGAAGATGCTTTTCTTTGAGAGCGCCTGCAAAGCTAACAGGCGTGTGCCTGATTTCCATCATCCAGTTTGTTCAGTTAAAGTTGCATTTAAGGTCATATCAAAGAGAGCTGGCAGTGGCATTAGACAATGAGATTTCCCAGAGGACTGACCAGGAAATAAAAGGTATCTGTAGTGTGTACAGATCCTTGGATGAATGAATCTGTAACTAATATTTGTTATCCATGGATTTGAATGGACTTGGCAGAAGGAAGGAGAGCTGTCAGTGGAGCAGCTTTCAAATTTCATATCTGTGACGTCCTTAATGTCTCTCTCCTTCTCCCAATTTTGAAAATCTGTTTCAGATATTGCTTCTTGGTAACATGCTCTCTTTTGCCTTATCCCACAAATTAAAAAAATATCCTGGACTGTCTGCTTCCATAGTTTAATGCTGTTCTTTAAAAAAAGAAAACACAACAAAAACAACAACATTTCATTTTAATTTTTTTTTTAATTTATCAGTTCAGAAACAAGTACACTGTGTGTCTTGAACAGTTGAACAAGAACCAGTAAAGACAACTAAAGGAATGCTCATGTTATTTCTGCTCATGTTAGCCCCTACAGATCTTTTCTAGCCCTTCTGCTGCTGCATACACAACACTTTGTTTTCTTTGTTTGCTTGGATAAAGATGAAATGCCATAGAATGAAACTCCCTTATGATACAAACTGTAATATGTATTTGTTTATATGTGCATGTCTCTCTCATTTATACACTAAGCAGCATGTTCGCTATTGCAAGGTGCCTGCCACATAGCTATCTCTTGTTTCACTCAAAGGCAGAAATTGCTCAAGACTGCTAGCTAATCTAGTCTTGCTTGTCTTGAGCTGGCCTGCAACAGTTTTCCTTGTGTGATGTGGATTCCTGTTGTAAGCTTTTTGTGTATACTGCACAGACATGCAAAAGTCCTGCACCAAGGAAATGTATCTCTTTGCAGAAGATAAATTAAATTGAAATACCTGAATGAATTTACTTCGTACAATCATCACAGGATTTCTGAAGCAGAATTTAGAACGCTTTTCCCTCCATTGAGCAGTAGTGACTTTAAAGATGTAGATTTAGCGCACAGAGATTTTTTGGAACAAAACACACTTTGGAAAGAAATTCAAATTGTAGTTTCTTTCAGAATGGCACCATGAATAAGATAAGTAAAACCGACACAATCCAGAAGATGGAGATGTAATATGTTTGGTGCTTCTGTGCTATCAAAAGAGAAAGAGAAAGACAGAGAAAAGAGCCATTGTATTTCCTAAGAGCCCTTTCACTAGCTGAGGAATCCCATGCAATTGTTATGTAAGTCATATGCGTGATATCATCTGTTGGCTAAAGCTGAATCCTAACCCCACTTTTCCGGGAGTAAGCCCCACTGAATTCAGTAGGATTTTCTTCAGAGTAGGCATGGTTAGGACTGGGTAATAGTCTGAACCAGAACTCAGGAACCAGGTCCTTACTTTTCAGTGCAGAGTTTTATTCTCATTTGGGATATTAATTATTAGTTCATCATAGATTCCTAACAGTTAAGCAAACCCTGTCTTGGCATGGTCTACCTTTCTATTACCTAAGAGGAGGCAGGATGAGCATTAGTGGACTCCTCTAGTTTCCAGTCTACCCAGTGGGAAAATTTAAGTATTTGAAAAGTTAAGTATTTGAGGTGTTTAGTGAAATACGATTTAAGGATTTGTGGTATGCTCATTCACACACATAGTGGAAGATGATATCTGGTTGCCTGATGAACCACCCAACCTTAGAATTAATACGGTGCTTGGGAAATACTCTTCTTTTCTTAAACGACATACAAAACTTTATTGAAATTAGTTTTATGACATTTCTAGTTTACAAGGGAGAGAAACTACTCAACATCCTAAGTAGCTTATACTGTACAATGAAATGCTGGGAATATTTTTTTTAATGTTGTTTATACTTCAACACTCTGACGTATACTGCTACATTGTATAATCTGTAGCTACCACCAACCACTTTGTCCCACTTAATGCATCTAATGCATTCTTTTGTGAACCTCCCTGAGATCTGTGGATGAACGGTAGTATGCAAATTCAGTTAATAATAATAATAACAATCATAATGAAGTATCCTGTATAAGTTTTTTTTCCACAATAAATTGGCAAGTTGCTAAAGTTCTGGTGTACCTAGGACCTTTTTTGGCAACAGCACAACGGCAGAAAAAATTGCTATAGCCTTCATGCTCTGTACCACTTTATAAGTCGTAAGAGAAAGATATAATTGAAAGTTTTTCTACTTCAGCAACTTGCTGTCTTTCCATACAGAAAGATATTTTTTTTAACCTGAGAGATTTTAAAGGTTCACTTGGTTGCTTTTGTCACCCCGGAAGGCTATACAGTGTGTATTTCCTGAATGCCTGTTCATTTCCATTCAAATTTCTGGAGTTTTGAAAGCGTAGATGACATATTTGAGGTCTCATTTCCTCATGAACATGGTAGAATGCAACACAGTGTTAAAACTTATATTTGAGTATTTATTGTCTGACTACAACACAAGCATAGGGAATCTGAAATGAAAATGACAACTTCCGGGGTGGCGCCTCCGGAAAATGGCGGAATTCCCTTCGGACTGAAGGGAACCCGCTGCACGGAGGCTTGGGTCCTGCCGCTACGGCGCAGCGGGGACCCGCAAAAACCACAGGCGGAAGAAGCCTGTGGACGTGGGACTCGGCGGGCACCGAGAGCACTCTCTCCCCTTGTACAGGAGCCCGTTACCGGGCTCCTGTACAAGGGGAGGTGCGTGGTGCTGTGAGTCGTCTGCTTCCTCCGTGCAGCAAAGCCGCACTGCCGTTATCGGAGAGCGCTGCCTTTTTCCTGGACAATTTGGCATCTAAAATATCTATCCGTGAGTACCTGATCTTGGAAGAGTTGAACCACTTTTAAGACTGGTGAATAAACAAATAATATTGGACTTGAAATTGAACTTAATTGGGACTCGGAATGGGAAGGTCTAAACAGGAAGTCGCCTTCCGTTCTTTTGTTATGTGAAGAAAGCAAAGACAAAATATACTAAAGCTTGAAAATTAAATTCTAAGAGAACTAGAATTCAACATCTAAGATTTCTGAACCCCCTTTGACTGCAGGAGAAGAAGGGGGTTGTATTTGGACTTTTCAATCCTGCGGAAGTGAGTTTAAAATAAAGCAATTTTCCACCGCCCTGAACCAGGAGCGGGCTGTCAGAATTGACGTTCTGAAGTTTATCCAGCTCGACAGTTAGTTAAAAGAAGGGTAACATTTTGATTCTACTGTTGCCTCTTGAATTTGGAAGGGGAATTTTGGATAAAGTGTTTCTGGAAAAAGAAAGATTGTTGCTGTTGCTTTTATTCCTTTAAAAAAAAAAAAATTCCATCTAGTGGAATTTAGTGAAATTGCAACGCAGAGAGATTAAAAGAGAAGGACTATTGGACTATTCTCGTGGGAAAGAATTTTCTTTGACCTTGAAGGACAATGCTAGTACAAAGGCTTGAACAATTGTTCCTGGAAGGTTTTTCAAAACTAAGTGCCCAGCTGGACCAGATGCGTCAGGAGACGACCTTGATGATGGAAGTTACCAGAGCACAGCAGCAAACAAATGAAATTCAGTTAAAGGCTATACAAGCATATGAACCTGCTGTAGTGACGGAGGCTTCAGAGATGGAGGGACCTTTGGACGGGCAAGATCAGCCTTTGAACTTGATAAATGAACTTGGGACAAACCAGATTCGGAAAGATGAAATGTGGTTAGATTTGGAAATGGGGGGATGGATCGACCCCCCTCCATATGGTTATTTGGACCTTCCGAGTCTGGTGATGGGCTATCAGAAGATTGGAGTAGCCGAAGTCTCCAAGCTTTGTGGAAATTTGAAGTGGCATTATTTGCTGTCTGGCTTGGGCAATGGGTTTGGGATGGACTTGCTGCAAAGGGTCAAAAGCATTTTCTTGCTGGAGCATCCACGACTGGAAAGGAATCATCAACAAGAGTGGCGAAAGGGGCAAGAAAGAGACTTGAGGGCCTCGGATACGAGACAACCAGGTTAAGGAGCCGGACTATCGAGGTTAAAAGGACTGACAATCCCGGGTCCAGGGAGGGGAGGTTGGTAGCTTACTGGACTGAATTTGACTTATTATTTTTTCCTTTTTATTTTTAATATTGGGAATGCTTACAAATGTTTGAAGGATGTTGAATGAAATTACATGGCTTAAGCAAGGATTGGTAAATGATTCGTAAAAAAGGTAATGATGCAAGAATTTGGTAAATATTGAATATAAGCTATGAATTTTAAAGTTTTTATATGACAAGAGGGAAAATAGAATAAGGAAACGTAATGACAGATTGTTATGAAAAAACAGAAAGGATTTGCTGTAAAAATTAAAAATTAAGAAACAAAAGAGGGGAGGAGGAGGAAGTCTAGAAGGAAGTCAATAGAGATTGTAAAGGACTTTATATTTTTGTTTTTCTGTTTCTCTTTTTTTTCTTTGCGGCTGGGTTTTCTTTTCTTTTTTGTTTATGTACTATTTTTGTTTTTTGTATCCTTAAATTTTTTTTTTGGAAATTTTTGTTGTTATTTTTTGAAAATTCAATAAATATCAATTATAAAAAAAAATGAAATGAAAATGACAGAGATGTGCAGCATTAATGTGTTGTAATGTATCTTTCTCCCCTAAGAGGAATATTCCTGTTCAGAGGCAGACTAGGGCAAAAGCTTGTAATACTTTCTGAGTGTGGGAGCACACACTTTTTTCTCTACTTGCCTAAAGCCGTCCCCACTATGCTATTTAATTCTGAAGGGCTCAGGACAATCTATGTACCATTTCTTGCTGCCTATCTTGGGGAGGACAGTTTCTGGAGAAGGAGAAGGTATACTTGGGGGGGGGGAGTTATTGTGTAGTGCCTCAATTTTTCTTCCCTGATAAATATAAGCTACTAAGCAGCGTGAGCAAACTGGTTCCCTGTTTTTCTCCCTCTGGTTCCTTTTATTTTATTTTATTTGAATTGACAAACTCAACTTCATAGGTCCTAAAAGTTCACAGGTCCTTGTCGTGCTGACCCCCACCCCCACCCCAGTTTTTCTTTTTCAATTAATTTAGAAACTACTATACTTCTGTATACCTAGGACATTCCCATGTAGAAACTACTACCTTATTTTTAGGTGAGTCAGTTTTGCTTATGAACAGGGTTGCCCAAGTGGTATTTTTTGAGGTGGGGTGAGGAATAATAGCAATGTATTTATAATGGCCTTGTGGGATGGATAAGTGGGAATAAGTTCAAGTTACAGAAAGACAGGCTTCAATTAAATATTCGGGAAGGTTAAACTAGGGTTCACTGCTCTCCTGTAACCTTAAAAAAGCAGGATAAGTATTGCATGGAAATAATTCTGGTGCCTATTGCATGACAACTTGTGGCACCACTATTTCATTAGACAGTGCAGTTTAAATAAAGGGAATAACTGATGCTTTATCTATTGCGTGCAAGATTATTGAAACTTGAAAGAGTTTAAGGAGAATCTTAGTATCTGTTCTCAGTTTACTCAAATGCAGCATTTGAGTAAACCATTTCCTTTATAGCATAGCCCTCATGTGCTGCAACAGGGGAGGAAGAGATTAACCGGCTGTCGGGGGACAAAATTTGATTGTTAGGTGCACTAAATTGGCAGGAGGAATCTAGGGTAATGGGGTGACATTTAAAAGTACTCCATGCTAGAAACTGACTAGGTTCCAAGTTGAGAACATACATTTTAATGTACATTTTCTTAGCTGTTGGACTAGCAGGCATGAGCTCATCTACTCTTGGTTCTCACAGCATTACTGAAACAATATTTTGTGTATGTGTGTACCCCCATGCTTGGTAGGAAGGTTCTAGTCCGTCATTTTTTTCTCCTTATCCCCTCTCCTCCCCCTGCAAAGCCATCTGCCTTGAATACAGCTTCTCCTGTGAGCTTTGGGGTTGCCCTTCAGCCTCAGCTGTCAAGATATTGATTGACGCAATTTTAATAGCATTTTAAAATACAGTTGTTAAGTTGGGGCAGTGGGACTCTTCTCTTCCTCCTCCTTCCTACACCTCCACCACCACCAAAGAGGGGAAGTGTGGTTTTTCAATGACTTTAAACTGCTTCTTGTCTTTGCATGTCGTTTCTTGCACCAAGCGGTGAAACGCATTATCGAGTAGTGCCCAGAAAGTGGTTAACTGCGTTTGACACACGCCAACTCCCTGCCTCCACACTGGATAATTGCATTGTCAACTATTCAGTAAAGTGGCAGGTGACACTGCTGCCGGATTGATTGTCCTAGCATTGAGGCTCCTAAGACTGTCAGCTTCCCAATCGATAGCGTTTACACAAGACACCGTGACTGCATCTGTAACTAATTTCAGTTTGAAACTTGCAAGACACTGCGCTGCCCCTGTTTTCTGGCTACATGTGTTTAGTGACTTGCTTCCTCTCTTTGGACCACAGGCTTGATACCATCCTGCTTCACCCCCCTCCTTCCTTGGAAAGTGCATTCCTGTTTTTATTTTGGTGTAGCAGGTGAAGAAATCGATGCTGTGTGCTGTGCCCTCAAAAGCAGGCAGAATTACTGCAGATGGCTAACTAGCAGCTCCAGTTTTGTAATCAATAGCCTGATCAATTGATTAAATTAACACTGATTTTCTTCCGTCTTCCTGGCCTATATGAAAAATTAGTTTGCAGTGAGCATGCAGGTTTGGCTTATAAAATACAGGCCTTGTTATGCTATCCCATGACTCTTTTCTATCAAGTTTGAGTGCATTGTTATTTAAATCAGTGGACAGCAAGACATGCTGCTTCCACTAGTGCCTTTAAATGGGGACATTGCTCTGGGTTGCTTACCAAACTTGACTACTTCATGCTCGGCTGCTTTAGAAAAGTCGTCCCCTCAGCTTTTCCGCCTTCCTCTGTTATTGGCAGAATTGCAATGTGACTGTGATCCCTGTCAGTGGTGCTTATTGATCCAGTGATGTGAACCTGTTTAGTGATTCAAGATTACTTTAATTCCCCTCTTTCCTTTTTTGTTTTCCCTCGCTCCTTACATGAACAAAAATTCCCCTGAGCCACCTTCATGGAAATTACGCCAATGATTGCTAAGCCTCTGCTTGCAAATTTCCCTTTGTATGGCAGCCTTCCACATACAAGCACACAAATGCATGCACGCCTCCTGCTGAACATTAGCCTGGCACAGAACTGGAGGAATTGCCATAGCAGCTTGGATATGGGATCCTCTTTCCAGCTGTATCCACTGTGTGATGGCGGCACAAAGGGGAACTTGTGTAGTGCTCTCAGCCAAGTTCTGAGGTGCTGTTTACAGGAGGAAAAATCCTTTTGCAGGCAACCAGCTTGCCCCCTGAGGCACAGGCTTGATGACTTTCACCTTGGCATGCAGCAGTACCACAAAATATTAATGGCCATAAAATTATACAGCCCCCTCTTAAAGTCTCCTCCTTGGTGTGTTAGTAAAGATGACTACAAGCAGTTGGGATGCAGACTTGCAGCCTAGGCTCTGTTTTCTTACAGCGTGAAAGATGACTTTAGAGTGGCAGCTCTACTACAATGATCCATATGCATGGCCTCAAACACTGAAGACCTATGTGTGTATTTTATAAATCCCATGATCCTGATTAAGTTATTTCATAGCAGCCAGTGAAAACCAGACTTTGCATTTTTCTGTGGTCAGGTTAGTTTTCCATCAACCTGGAGTCATGAACATTACTAATCCAATTCATCTTTACCTGATCGTTTATAGTGCAACAGGGTAATAGAACAATGCAATTTAATAACTAATTCCAACAAACATTAGCCATCAAAGGTTGACTACAGCGATCCTTTCCTTTTGCCCTTTCTTTTTAAAAGAGTCAAGGCAGTTTGCTTTTCCCCAAGCCATTTTTAAAGGAAAGCTACATCCGTGCCACTATGCTCTCTTGATGCTAGTTTGGGGATGTTTCGGCAGCTGAGGAAACAAACACTGCCAAGAGCTGTTCCCAGGAAATGTGTGTGAGGCCTGGCAGCATTAAAACACTTTTATTGCTGCTTTTGGGGGTGGGGGGTGGGGGAGAGTTATTCCTTATCCAGGAAGGAGCAAGCAACACTTTAGGCAAAGCAGGTGAATGAGCTCAGCCAGAGGTTGGTAGATGTTGTGGGAAAAGTAATTAACAAAACCTGCTGTTTTTTTTAGTTTTTAACTAGAGACTGTATTTTTTACCAAATCTCTCTATATTACCCACAAGCGCTGTAAACACTCATCTGATTTCTGGCCATTACAGCCTTGGATAGGTCTCTGCACCAAGTGAGAGGTAGAGCATAATTCAGTTTTTGGAGATTTTTTATATTGAAGAATCAAGTGTTGTGCCTTGAGCACATTAGGGACCAACACTAAAGACTCTTCCGTTGTAGGAGCAGGACAGACAAGATACGCATGTCATAAGCAGATTAGCTCTTCTGCTCTGCACTAGAGCATTGCTAAAGGTTCTTCTGGCAGGTCATTATTTCATTTGTTATTTATATTTTGGATTTATATCCTGTCAGTTTTATTCAAAAAGAGCCCTCTAGGTGGCTTACAATTTAAAATCAATAACAATACACAGCAACGTATCCATAAATGACAACCAGTGACACACAGTTAAATTATAAGCAGTAGCAACTTCAGTAGGAAGTAATCATGTGTGAGCAAATTTGGAATAATAAATAGTGAGTGAAAACAAATAGTCGATTCTTAGCATTCCGGACAGTGGAACTCTAAAGCCATTGTGTGCTACTATTCACAATGCCTAAATGATAATCAGACAAGTGGGAGATTTACCCCTTAAATGCTGTAAAGAATAAAACAGATTCTGTGCTTTATTTGCTTCAGTTCTACTCTTCACTTATATAAAGATGATGTGCAGTCTCATTTCTGTACAGAATCTGTTTTTAGCACTAGAAAGTTGCATACATAATGGTAAATAACCAGCCCAACTAAGGATACAATTGTACCCCAAGACCAGTTTTAGTTTTTTTTTTTTAAGTTTTCTTATTGCTAAGGAATTGCAAAGTGAATTACAATGCAACTGCTACTTATAACCAAGCAAAGCACGGTTCACGTATGGCCTTGTTATGATGCACCGCTGCCTGTACTCAGTGCTGGTGCCAGATATTTTGCACCCTAGGTAAGGCTAACCTTGCGCACACGCATACCCCCCAAAATGGCTAACTTCAGTTTACAAAAAATGATGTATTGTAGAAATCATAAAATTCTTCAAAATATAAAATATTACTAGAAATTCATAAGCTATAACAAAAAATCAATCTGTAAACTGTGCCCCTAAAAGGTCAGCACTGCGCCCCTCTGAGGTCTGTGCCCTAGGTGGCTGCCTAGTTGGCCTAATGATAGCACTGGCCTCCCTTTACTGAATCCATGGTTCTGAACCCCACCTATGAGCAAAATTGGAATATATTTTTGTTTCTCTAGATTGAGTTGTGCAAGACACCGTATATGTTTCAAGTTTGAATCAGGTGAAATAATATGTTGCCTATCTTTGTGGTAAAAGCAGACTTAAAATACAGGTGGCAGTTTTGTGCACATCCAATTGATTCATGGCTGCTGATGCCTGGGTACTTTTGGACTCCACCAACATTTGTAGGGCCCAGGAACAGAATTCCCATGCAAATTGGTCGCCACCTGTATTTATCTTTTTAGAGAAGATGGGCATGCTTGTATATAAAGACTTTAAACTATTTAAAGCGTGGAATGAGCTGTCCATGTTTGTGTGTGAGAGAGAAAGGGGGTGGGGACTTTCTGTGTAATTTCATTCATTTATTTACATTTATACCCTGCACTCTCAATTTAAAGTCATGTTTTCTAATGCAGAAAAGCTAAAGCAACAACTAAGCTATAAATACCAATTTTTTTAGGAAAACAGAAATATATTTGCTAGGTACCTTAATAATAGTAGTAAGAGTGCTAGGTAGGTCTCTCTGGGAAGGGTATTCCAAAGAAAAGGCACCATCATTGCAAAGACTGGCTCTGTTACCTTCTGCTGCACTTCCATTTGGTGGGGGCTCCAAGAGAAGAGACAACAGAGGACAATCTCAGTAGATGAGCAGATTGATCAAAGATAAAGTAGTGAAACGGGTATCTGGATGCTGGGCTTTAAAGGTTAAGAACAACCCTTTGAATTGAGCTTGGAAAGTTGCCTGGAATCAGCAAAGCTCTTTCAGTACAGACAAGATATGATCTCTACAGCTGGTCCCTGTTGGCTGTTTAGCCTCAGTATTCTAAATTAGCTTCAGTAATCCAACCCAGAATTTACCAGGACATGGCTAACTATGACTAGACTTTCAGGGGCAGGGGTGGGGGGTGGGGTGGGCAGTTATCAGCTTGAGTTGATAGGTCTTTTGTGCTGCTGAGGTTATTTGAGCCTCAAATGATGAATCTGAAAACACTCATAGTCTGAGTACTTGATCCTCTAGAGAGGGTGCAATCACTTCCAGATCTTGTTGAATACCACCTCTCTGCACCTCCATCTTGTCTAGATTGAATTTCAATTTATTGACCCATATCCAGTCCATTACTTCTCCCAAATACTGAATCAGTACTTTTCTGACTCAGTTGGGGGAAAAGTAGAGCTATTATTGTATAACAGCAATATGGAATGTTCCATTACTTCCAGCTTCCGGAAGTGCAGTTCTATTGCAGCCCCAATTTTATTCGCAACACAAATATAATGGTGTTAGTTAGGGCTTTGCAGCAAGAGGAAAAATATTTACATCTTTTAAAAAATATGTGGGTTTTAGTTCTGGAGTGATGGAATACAAATTCTTTCATGAAAAATAAATTTATTGAAATGGAATGCAGGGAAGATGTAGTTACGCACTTTACCAGTGAACATTCATGTGAGCGCTTACTCTGTATGACGTATAAAATATATATTTGTTTTTAAAGGGCATGGGATTTTATCTTACTAGCGTAGTCATGGGTGCTGTTAAACATACAGATGTCTAGCAAAACAGTGCTTCTAGGTTGTACTTCGAGTGGGGAGGCATTAGATTTTTTGGAAGTAAAAGGCCATGTATCTTCCCATCCCAGACATTCTAGCTTGATCATGATTGAAAAAACAGACCCACACATTGCATGCAAAAAGAGGATGGTGGAAGCGAAAATATGTCACAAGAGTGGAAAAGGAAAAAGATGTTGTGTTTATAGTCACCCAAGAGAATAATGCTGGTCACCTTCATTAATAAGATAATTAATTCATTTTAATCTAGGTATGCTTGTCATATCATCATATTCCGTGTCAGTGAATGCCACAGACTATTGATGCATTTCTGTTTTGCTTGTAAATGAATTTCATCACACCCTCTAATCTAGAAGTATACCAAGTAGTAGGTCAGTGTTCTCTATTATTTCCCTCCCAAACTGTTCATAATTTCAGTAACACCTATGTCATGCTATATATCTTATCCACTCATACAGAAGAACCGTGGAAACAGATTATAGAAAAATGGTTCTTTAGAAAGGCATAAATAATCATTTTTAAACTCAGAAATTGGAGAGGGGGAGAGCTGTCTAATGTGTGCAGTTTAGATCTGGCCTGCTACACATGTGAAATGGGCCTCTTTACTCGTAGCAAAGGTCCTGTGGCTCATATCTCTGTGGGGCTGTTTCTTGCTCAGAACTCCTAGAATGTTCAGCATTAACTCAATTTTGGTGCTGGGTCCAGCTGCTTCAAGGCCAGGCAGAGCAGAGCTGTGTACACAGTGCTCGAGGGCTACTGTGCTCTCAAGGTAAGTGATCTTGATAGGTACATTCTGACTGATGAGAGAGTTTGTCTCCCGAACTGTCACAGGGTTTATAGAGGTGCCACTCAACACTGGAGCTGGAATTGCTTGTCAGAGCAGCCGCCTACAAGAGCAATGGGGATCGGAGACAGAACAGTAACTTTGTTTTTTCTTGGCTTAATGGCTCCCGAGTCTGACCTGCATGCTCACTCTTGTTTGTCTGGACCTTTAGAAAGGCATCTTGGATTAAGACTGTCAGAAAATGGTGTTTCTTTAGCTTCAGTAGGGTTAGTTATATCACCAAAAGTAAATGGTATTCAGCCAAAAGCTAGCAGATTGGAAGGATGAGTTGGCAAAATTATTTTCTCTAAGGAATGCCAAATTGGGAATTAAGAAGTCTTACGACACAATTTTAATAATTTTAAATTTCAGTGATTTAACTGTAATACACTTGCCTCATCTGAAAGCAAAAATATGCTTTATCCCTTTAAAACTTCTCTACTTCTTCTTCTTCTTTGAGTCTATTTAAGCTGCTGCATAAATACTAGTTAATAACACGATAGCATGCTTTGTGTTCTTTTAACCACCCCAGATGAGAAGACATCAAAATGGGCCTAAATACACAGCATTTTATTCTGATTAGTCATATTTGGAAGAATGTGGTGATGCCCAATGGCTTTAACAGAGATTTAGCAAATTCTTGGAGGATAGCCCTGTAAGCTGCTACTGGACATGATTACTAAATGGAACCTCCATCTTCAAAGGTGGTCTCCTGGGTACCCATTGCTGGGGCTAGCAGCACAGGAGGTTGCATGACTTGAAAGTACTGAATGATAAGAAAGGGGGAACTTAATCTGGAACAAAGTTAATCATGACCTCTACTGCCCTCTGGGGGCTGGGTTTGGCCAAGATTCTGCCTCGGAATCTGATTTGTATCCCATTCAACAGCCCTGGAATATGTGAAATGTAAGACAGCACATCTAAGCACTAGTCTGCCCAATCTAAAGTTTAAGAATTTCTAGAACAGCAGGCATAGGTTCCAAGTAGGCTTCAGACCCAGCACATATCTTTTTGAAAACAAAACAATGCTCTTTCCCAAGCAGAGCCCAACCATCCTCTCTGAACCAGTGCAAAAAATAATAATAATAATGCGCCTCCTCTTTCTCGCACCTGAAGTCCTGACTTGAAAATTCATTGCTTTCTGGCTGCTACAAGGGAAATGTTGCCAGCGGTGTTCAGGATGAGATTGCTTATGGCTGACCAGAGAACTGAGGAAGCAGTGAGCTAGCCTAGACGAGTGAGGCTTGGGGATTTCATTGGTGCATGCATGCACAATCCCACATCCTGCAGCTTTCTCCTCTACATAAATGGTTACTTTCTAAGTGAGAAGGTGGTAGGACTGAAATAAGATTTGAAGTGTCTGAGAGCAAAGGTATTCTGTTTTATTTTACAGTTAGAATTTGAAGCAAGGACTGCCCTTTTGTTGATAACATTAAGAATTGACAGGGAGGCAGCAGGAGAGAGAGGCTTATGCAGTATGAGTCCATTACCAGAAAGGCCCCGATTGCCTACCAATTAATAGATCTTAATGGCTGATTTACGAGCAGGACCCAGGCAGATTCATATGGGTACAGACTTTTCCTCAAATAGCCTACAAATTAAGAAAGGGATATGCATTCATAAACATGGAGGACAAATTGGTTTGAACCCTAAAAGCTAGTATGATTATGTCAGGTAAGAGGTCTGGTCTCCCTGAAATGCATTGCCCCAAGCAAGCAACCACCTGGGTATATTAGAACCATTAGCCTTATGGGCAGGGAAGTCATGGAATTGCCTTCAAGCATTTTTGTTGGAATTCTTCTCTGTCTTGGACTTCCTGTCCTTTTCCCCACTCAGGGTGGAATTGTGCTTGTGCCAAAGACTAGTAGTGTGGTTGGTTTTTTTTAGATCTTTACACTTCATTTGCACGTGTGCATGCACATATGTGCACACATAGCAGCTATGAGCCTATTGGGTTGTCCTGCTTTTATAAACCCCATTTAATTCATTTATAAAGGTTCTTGTCCAGAAATCTGGTTTGAATGAGCCTGGGATGAATAATTAATGTAAATCGGTTTAGACCTCCAATATTTAAACAGCTGCTGGCGTGTTTTCACTGGCTCTGTACAGTGAAAAAATGTGAGTGAGTTGGGACACAAAAGTGTAACAAAAGCCTTGACCCTGTTGGAATCGTCCCTATATCCATCCTTATGCTGGGCACAGGGTCCCTTTTTATAGGTAGTGTCAGCCATGTAGGAGTCACTCTTGAGATTCTGGAGATACTATAATGTTACCCAGTGGCAACTCAAGAATTAAAAAATAAATAAATCTCCCTCAGTTACTGCATCATAGAGCAGAGACCCATGACTTTCTGAAGCTGGCAGGTAGATTGCTTATGCATCAAGTCTTCCTGTAGATGCATGAACTTGTTTTGTTCCACACAATGAGAACTCCAGACCACTTCTGCCACCCATAACACTTCTGTTGTGCTCTCCTGATGAAGCATAAGAAGCTTTACAGACTTAATTTTCCTTCTCTGGCAAAGTCAGTTGACTGGAGGACAGAAAGGTAGGATGCTAAGTGTTGACTACAGTAAGTAAATTTCATGTGCATACATGCACATCATTCCAAAATATGAAAGAAAAAAGATAGGCGACTAGAACTTTTATGCATAATGAGTAATGCAACATTTTCTTAATTTACATTTTCTGGTTGCAGAATTTATTATTGTATTTAACGAAATGTATATACCACTTGCTAGGCTTCTTGTAAAGGGCTTAGAAGTTTTGCTGCAATCAAGTGGTATGTATGTTTTGTTAAATAAAGTAGTGACAACATTCCCCTAGTGTTCTGCAGTATCACCAAATCTTGCAAGTGATTCTGTAAGTCAGTATGAGATTTTTCTTTCCTTCCTTTTCTCTTCTCTCCCCGCCCCCACCCTGTGGCTATGGCCATTTCTGGCCAGCTACCCATTTCAATTTTTAAGCCTCTTAAATACAGTACTATGGGCTATAGTTAACTAACTTGTTGGGCAGGTTGGCATAGCTTGGGGAAAACAGCCTGGCAGACCAAGATTGGGCCAGGATTTGACAATATTTACTGGGTTCTAACAAGAATTTCAGAAAATAAAGTTTCAACAGAGAGAAATCTGATCAAAATTCTACTTACGACTCTGCCTCCTATCAGGAACGCATGTTAGCCTTGCCCACTTACTGTCTCATTAGGACTTAATTTCAGGCCTGGTTGAAATGAAACTGTGATCATACTTTAGGTTCCTTCAAGGTGCAGCCCTAGTATTCCATATAACAATTTGGACTCCGGTGGCATCATAGGCTTCTCTCTTCTACTTTGCAGTCTTTGAACTGCGCTTCCTGAGCACGTATAGAAAAATGCAACTGTGAAAAGGAGATTCTTGTCTCTGACTTTGTATGGTAAACTTTTGTTGCTTGTACTGTGTTCTGGTAGCTTAATTTGACATATAGGACAAGAAATTGGATTTCCTAAAAGCTGCTTCTTTCTCCCCATTTTTGTATCAATTCTGTTACTGAAGTGAAGCAGAGATGAAATTCATTTCTATTCAAGATTTCCTCCAGCCTCAAATCTTGTTCTACATCTTTAATATAGATGGCATTCAGATCACAGCCCAGGTCAAGCCATAACTTCTGCTTTGTATTTGAGAGATGGTGGGAAAGAAAGAAGCTTGTGTGTTTAGAGGCTGGGCTTTTTAGAAATTACAAGCTAAATTATACCTGATACTGGCATACTGCAGGCCAGTATCTGTGTGACCTCATTGTCTCTACCAGTGTGAAATAGCACTCATGCTCTTTGGGCAACTATGGAAAAGTACCACAGTCTTTAGCAACTCTGTCCTGTTTTAAATCTAAATAAACTGAAAAGTTGGTACTTGCTAGACAAACCATTGCTGAGGAGGCTTCAAAATCCTGGGCAACTTGGGGTACTTCCAGATGTGGGCGTTACAACATAAATAAGTTACAAAAATCCAGTTTTTCTATGTGTGGGTTTTAGCAGATAAGTTTCCACAAATTCCATTTTTTCAGTCATGAATATTCATTGCTATTCCGTTTTCTACACCAGTGGGTAGAACTTGATGGAAAGTATCTGGGCTGTTTTTCTGTCCCTTATGTCAGTCATTCCCCATCCTTTCCCCCCCTCCACTACTGTTCTGGGGATTTTTGCAGGTATTTCAGTTCCTGTGCATGCACATCTTCAAAGAAAAGCAAAAACCCAGGAAGTCTGCAGGAGCAAATATTAGCAACCTTAGTTATCATTTTTCACAGTGGACAAAATGGAGGTGTGCAAAGGCTAGCCAGGATTTCTCTATAAACTGTATTGCCAAATTGTGTGTTGTCTTGAAAACATGGCATCCAACTACCATTGCAAAATGGCAGAAAATATCTGAGCTAACTTCTTTTGAAAGTAGTATTCTAGAGCAAAAGTGAGAGAGGTTGCTGATTTTTTTCTTTCCAAACATGTCCCCTTCCTGGAAAGTTGCTCTGGAAGCTCAGGGGACCATCTGAAACAACATGGGAGATGGCACTGAAAGGTGAAGGGAAAATCTGCAAAATATGCCGCCACCCTCTTCCTCCTAGAGGAGGAATGGAGCCCTTCCATTTTCAGAGGTTGAAATAGAAACTTACTCATAGAAAAATAAGTTCCACACTACAGCCCAAAGTGGGTAAACAAAACAATTTTGCTTTTAAATCCTTCATTTGAGCTGTATAACACTGAATTATCTGAGTGCAGAATCTGGGATTCTAGCACAGAATTTTCGACTGCCCATAAGAGAGTTGTACAGGCAAGTACAATATTAGACTTAGGGGCTGGTGCAACTGAAAGGAATGAAAGGTTGATGGAGGGATTTTGCATTTGTGCATAAAGTCTAGATGCCAGATTTATGACTAGGATTGGATGCCTCTGGTAATTTGAGACGAGGATATTCCTTATAACATCACTTGATTTTTGCTTCTGTCCATTCAGTACTAAATATACTACTTTCTTTGAAACACCTCCAATAAACAACACCTTTGTCCCCTTGGCTCTCTGCTCATTAAAATCTTTGTGATGTGATCTAACCCAGTGCATGGGCACGGGGTGGGGTGGGGGTGGGATGGCAAGCAATTCAGTTTTATGAAATTGTAAAGATCATGAAGGAAGTGATGATAGTGTTTGGAACCAGTTTCCTTCCTGCGCACAAAAGTATTCTGCTTTACATACCAGTTTATGTGTGGTCCATCAAGCCTGCATTGAACCCTTATTTCTCACTTCCCCATTTTTGCATTTGGAGTCTATAGAATTCTTCTGTGGTATACAAGCCTGGAGTGTGTTTTTCATCTCCCATATTAATTGGATGTTTCTACGCATTTACCACCTCCTGTTTGCAACAAACCTAATAAATCACAGACTTGCTAGTTTTTGGCTTGAGTACACTTTTTCTGTTGCTGAGCAGTTCTGGTTCCCAGTCCAGTTTATCTCTGACAGACTGTGTCATGACTCACAATTCTCTTTGCTCCCCCAGCGCGCTCTGTCTCTCTATATAGAGAAAGAGATTTATAGATCAAGATATATCGTGACCTCTCTTCATACTTATGAAATTTTACAATGTTACCATTGTATTACATACAGTTGAGACAGGGAGATAGCCTGGATCAAACCATAGCTAAAATGAGCCTGGAGGAAAGTGACTGCTGGAAACCTATGCAGCTAAAAGACTGCTTTCTCTCTCCCATGCCATCTTTCCCCTCCCCTAGACTTGCCCAGGCCACATTTTGTTCCTCTGTGCCCTGTGGTGACACATTGCACATCTTTTCTTTTCCTTCAGGGTCCGGGTTTGTCATGTGCAGCGGCAAGGAGAATCCAGACAGTGATGCTGACCTTGATGTGGATGGAGATGACACACTGGAATATGGAAAGCCACAGTATCATTTTCTAGAGGTGCTGAACTCCCACCAAGAGACTGTGGCTCTGCTGTGCCAATAAAACTCTTGCTGCTCTTGCCTAATTCATAACATTTTCATTCAGCTAGGAGAGGATTCCACAAGTTCCCTGTTCACTGAAATTGCTCTGTTAGCAACTTTATTTACTAGTCATGAGCTGGGTAGTAATTTCACCAGTTCCAGCATCTGATTCGTCGCTGAGGAGCGATGATTTCCTCCTCTGCTGTTTTAAGATGAGCATGTTCTTATTATCAAACAGCTGTTATTGTGTTTACACGTTCCTTGTGGTGAAAGGAACCTTGTGGTCTTTGAAATGCATTCTTTAGTACTTCAGAATTTCTGGTGCCATTCTAATTGGTGCACTATATTGAATTTGTATGGTGTGTGTGTGTGTGTGTGTGTGTGTGTGTGTGTGTATAGAAACTAGCCTAGTGTGGAAAGGTACATTCACATTCATTGATCTGCCCATTTTGCATCTGCCCCTGCTCACCACTGCTGTGTGGGCCCCAGAAAAAGTTACCCAGAAGGAAATGTGCCCCTTGGACTACAAACAGTTCCTACCCATCCCTCAAAGGAATTCTTGGCTGCTCTGCCTTGATGGCTTGGGATAAGCAGTGAAAGCTTCTTATTCATCAGGCTGTGCTCTCCTTAACCCTCCATGCTTAGATACACAGAGGCAGATATCATTCCATGCACTGGGGAAGAACCAGGTGAAGCCAAGGAGAGAGAGGCGCTTCGAGGTGCAGTCTTAAAGTAAGTGTGGACTTTTAAAAGTGCTGTCTGGGAGTGGAGCAGGACATGCTTCATGGTGCTGGGTGGGCGGTGAGGACGTTTCTCAAAGCAGATATATCATATCAGTGTGAGATGCAAGCAGGAAGAACTTCGGAAGCAGCTACTTGCAAAGAAATTGTTACCCATCTATAACACAGCAGTAAAGTCCCACCCTACTCCTTGGCCACATTTATGCCAAAGGTAGTAGTTCTTGTTCTTTGAGAAATTAAATCCTGACTCTGGACATAGCACCTCGTACATGGGGCATTGTTCACTGGAAAAAACTCTCAGCTCGCCCATTAGAAATATTAAAATCAGGTAGATTTGTATAATACTGATGAGCTTATTTATTTACAGTTGAGAAATATAGGCTTTGTACAATTTAGAATTTTTGATAAGACCCACATTATGAATTTTTGACAACAGGGCAGGGTGCAAAAGTTTTTCATTGTGTGGATAAGGAAAGGAGAAGGGGTGGAAACCCTGTTAAGCATGCTTGTGCCCCATTTGAAATAAGTAAGACAAGTGCATACAGATCATAGAATTGTAGAGTTTGAAGGGACTACAAGGACCATCTAGTCCAAACCCCTGCAATGCAGGAATGTCAAACCCATATACTGAGTCAATCATTGGTCCATCTAGCTCGGTATTATTCACATCAGCCTTTGCAGATGTTTTCTACAACTTCCATCAGGTGCAGTCAACGCATCCATGCTGACTGAAACTGATGGGAGTTGTAGTCCAAAACAAACTGGGGGGACCAGGTTGGTGAAGGTCAGTCTACATTAAATATTTGAGGCTGTTTGTGGTTTCATATAGGGGTCTTACCTGCAAATGTCAGGGACCTTTTACATGTAAATAATGTGTTCTGTCACTGAACTATGACCCTTCCCCTTCAGTGGATTAATTTTGATTTTTTTAAAAACTACTAGCACTCTTTGACCAGATCTCATTAAACGATAGGGAAGCCTTTTTCCACTGGTTAAGGTGGTACTCAAGAGTAGTTTTTTCAAGTGACTCTGGCAATTACAAATCACAGTGACTGAACCACTGGCAAAAGCAGCTAAATCCCCCAGATCATTCTGGATTCTGGTAGGATCCATAAGTGTCTAGGAGTTGACCACTTTAATGGCTCTCAAGGTCCTTGCAGTGTTGATTATGTATTCTGGGCTGCTGTCTGCTAGACTTCTCCACAGGCCTTGTGTGGAAGATTCTGGAAAGCATTTCAGGCAAATAACTGAATGGGTGTTAACAGAGAGCTAAGAAATGGATTGGTTTTTCAAGCCCTCTGCCCTGTGTGGAAACAGCACTTACATTGCTCCAGTCTCTTAGGCTGAGTGAGCCTTGGAGGTCAAGGTTGAAGAGATTGATAGAGCAGTGAAATGAAGTTTTCCTACTGCTTAGCTTGTTACAAGCAGTGGCCTGAAATCAGATTTCACTTCATAGAAACACATATCTGCCTCATACTATTGCTGCCTCCAGTAATTTGAATTGACAGTGACTAATATTTGATGTTGAAAGGAAGGCAGAAATGCCAGGGTGTTAGTGGGGAGTTCTGATGGTTAACCTGCCCTATCCCTATAGCCCATAGTAGGTGGTAGCAATAATTTAAGCAATGTAATAATAATTTATTATTTATACCCCACCCATCTGGCTGGGTTTTCCCCGCCACTCTGGACGGCTTCCAACAAAATATTAAAAATACAGTAAAGTAACAGTAATTTAAAATTATGAAAACAGTGAGAGTATCTCTAGGTATGCTTAAATTTAGCCGTTTAAAGTCTGCTTGAATGCTTCTGAAAAAAATGCTATTTCAAGTATCAGTGAGTCTTGTTGGGAAAGAATTTCCACAGTTTGTAGGGAGTTATGGAAATCATTTCTGCATGCTATTCAAAGCTTAGCATGTGGCTGACACAAGTAAAGGGAGATCTTGGTGCACTCTTGGTAAATCTTAAGAAAGTGACAGAACAGAAGATGAAAGGTGGGCTCTAAGTTCTGTAAATGCTAAAATCACTCAAGAACCAGGATCTTGAATTGCATGTAGAAGATGACAAGGAGTCAGTAAAGATGTAGCATTGGTGTAATCCACTCTTAACCCACCATTGCAGTAGCTGCATTCTGCACTGACTAGAACATGTCTTATCTCCCTTCCAGTGGATACATAGTTATGGCTAGGCCTGGAAGGCCTCTGTTCAAGTTCATCTTCTGTTAGGGATTCATTGCATGGGCGGACAGATTTTTCTCTCAGTTTCCCATATGTAAAATGAAAATAATAGTGTCCTGCTTTAACACAGTTGTGAGAGTAAACACAAATTGATTGTAAGGCAATTGACAAACTTTAAATACTGTGTACATAATCATTCCTAATAATGGTGAGAAGAAATGCATGCTGTGGGATTTTTCCTGGGACAAATTTTCACTGCTGTCTCTTTTTCCAGTGGTGGCACGCCTAGTACCCGAATAACACCAGAATTTTCTAAGTGGGCAAGTGACGGTGAGTGTAAGATATATATGTGGCAATCTGTTGTGTTGGCTTGCATAGTGACAATCGGTATTTTATGGTGCAGTTTTAGTATTCAGCATATTGGGAGTATTATTATTCCTGTGTGCCCAACACCAGAGATCTGAAGTAGTGTAATAGAGTGGTTACCAGCTTTTGAGTTTTCATGCAGCAGTTTAATTTGTGCTCCTGGAGATGGAGACAGGTTATTGCCTCCATTTTCAAATAGAAAAAACTGAAACTATGGAGTCACCCAGAGAAGATTATGGTGCATTATTTCTATCCCACACTTCTGCTAAATGCCCCCAGAGTGTTCTGGAATATATCCCAAGTCACAAGAAGTTTGAATATGATTTTCTGGCTTTGAATCCTGTGACTAGCCTGCAATGCATTCTCATTCCTCTTGGTTTGGAGGATGATTTGAGAGACAAGAAAGCTTTCCATTTATTACCATAATTGTGTTTGAGGTTATTATGCATTCTGAGATAGCAAATCCCGCCCCCTGCTTTTTTGCCTTCTATAGGTATGCATGCCAGTGTCACAGTATTTGTTTATATTACCAAATGATCAGCCATTAATATCTTTCTCAGAAGCCTTCAGAGGTAAGGTGTATAAGACCTTTTCAGTTCTGGGATTTTAACTTTGAAATGCCTGCCCAAGAAGGTTCATCTGGCTCTGGGTCTGATGCAATTTCAGTGCCTTTTGAGATATCTTTTTAATTTTCGATGTGTTTTGGTTTTTCACCCTTTTAATACAATACTTTTATCTGGCTTCTGTTCATATTCTGCATTTTAGATACCGTACTTTTCTCTCTATAACACGCAGATTTTTTCTCCTAAAAAGTAAGGGGAAATGTCTGTGCGTGTTACTGAGTGAATGTGTGGTCCCTGGAGCCGACCCTCCCGAGCGTAGGGGCAAAAATCAGGCAAAAATCCAATCGCGCGCGTCAGGGAGAAGGGAGCTCCGTGAGAGAGGAAGCTGTTGCTTTCCTGCATTCTGCCTCAGGGTCTTACTGCCCACCCTCTTCTGTTTCGGTTGCTGTTTGCTCAAACGGAACAAAGAGCAGGCAAATCCCCTCCCCTCCAGGCAACCCCTCCCCCTCCAGGCAAGCAGAGGGGAAAGGAAAGGATCGCGTCCTTCCTTCTAACTCCTCTCCGTGCTCCGGTGCTGCTGCGTCCAGGGAAGCATTTTAGGGACTCGCAGGCAGCCGGAAAACATGCAGGTGGGGGGGGGGGGAGAGAGAGAGAGAGAGAGAGCGAGCTGGCTTGGGTGGGGGGGGGGGACTTTTGCCTTCCTTTCCTCCCTCCCGTTAAACCCCTCTCCTGCATTCTTAGCCAGCTGCTTCTCTGCACACCCCTCTCGTGCTCCTTGTCCCTTCTGTGTTTTTCCTTCCCTCTTAAACGTGGTTACAAAGCACGGATCCACATGGATCCTCAGGATCTTTGCATTGGGTCACCCCAAATTCACCATCAGATCACATAGCATGTCCATGGCTACAGCCTGCACCAAAAAAATCACGCACCCACTGTTGCCTGGGGCTGCAATGGTGCAAAAATGTGGTTACAAAGCACGGATCCACATGGATCCTCAGGATCTTTGCATTGAGTCACCCCAAATTCACCATCAGATCACATTACATGTCCATGGCTACAGCCTGCACCAAAAAAATCACGCACCCACTGTTGCCTGGGGCCACAATGGTGCAAAAACGTGGTTACAAAGCACAGATCCACAGGGATTCTCAGGATTTTTGCATTGGGCTACCCCAAACTCACCATCAGATCACATGTCTGTGGCCACAGCATGAGGCACAAAAATGATACATCCACTGTTTCATTCAGAATTTTTTCCCCTTGTTTTCCTCCTCTAAAAATGATGTGCGTGTTATAGAGCGAAAAATACGGTACATGATCTTTATATGAATTGTTTTATTTTCTGTCTGGTAACTGCGTACAAGCAGTGGACTGAAGAACAGGATAAAACTTTTCATAAGAAATGTAAAATATTTATTTTAAGGTATAAACAGGGCAGCGTTCATGAAGTCCCACCATTTTTATTCTCTCAACCCTGTGAGATAGTTCGGTTTTTGAGAGAAATTGCACTTCTAGGAGCTTGATGACTAGGGTGTCCATAGTCCAAATCCCACTCTCTCTCTCTGATATTGCCTCTTGGTTGCTATAACTATTGACAAGTGACATTTACATACAGGTTAGAAAAAAGATGGGGTGCTAATAGAAAGTATGGCTGGAAGTTCCCAGGCAGGATGTATTGATGGGGGGGAGAATTCTGCATTTGGAGTAGAGGGATATTTTAAATAAGTTTGGCGATCATTATCTTCTGGGGGTTTTTTCTATGTGATTCCACATTCTTGTTTGTGATTTCACACCATTTTCTTTATCCATGGTATTAAAAAATAAAATATTATCACTATGGAAATTAGCTCAGGAATTGGGACAATACTGTGCAAGTAGAGTTCAATTCAAGTTAAACTCCTGAGAAGTTCCAATGCTAGCTGTCCTGCAATGATTTTGATTTATTATATTTCTGTGCTGCTTTTCATTCAAATGAATCCCAAAGCAGCTTACAAACAATAAATAACAGCAACATAGTAGAACATAATGGAACATCACAAATACAGCATAAATCATATAGAATAATTAACAAATAATCAATGAAGCAGTTATAATAAAAAATAAGCTAAACATCACAGTTAAAGCAAAAGTCATAATAGATGATTAAAAATTAAAACAGAATTTATAATCTGTAAAACAATAACATTAACAAAATAGCAACCCCAAAAAATAAACTAGGCACTGTTAAGTTTATACACACACTCTCCACAACCCCATGACTTTCATGCTATTCAGCACATTAAAATACACCTACACATAATGCCCCTGGCAACAACTCCTTTCTGAAGGTTCCTCAGGATGGAAGTGAGGCAGCAGCTGCACCTGTAGAGCAAAACCAGCTGCCCCCTGATGGCAAACAGTCTCTCTCTTCTTACAATTCTTCCTCTGGAAACAGTGCTCCTCCCCTCATGATTTCAAAAGGCTTGTGAGAAAATTCTCAGCCTCTTCTGACCACAGAAATGGCGTTACTTTGATTCCTATGTGTGGGTAAACCTGTCTGGCTTGTAAACACATGTTTCTTCCAGAAAACCCCTTGAATAGAAAACCTCTAGAATCCTAACTGCAATTCACAGCATTGACGAAGAACAAATTGCACATACAAGCCATTTACCAAATCGATTTCATGAGAATTGCTCAAGGAAGTTGAAGTGGATCCTTTGTGTCTAACTGGTTTGAAAACTGCTCGTAATTCCGAGCGCTTCGGTTTTGGGTGAACAGTTGCCAATGTAAAGCAGGAAATTGATGGATTGCTGCAATTTGTCATAATTTGGCATCCCAGCCTCATTATTTGCTTTGAGTAATCCATGGCCCTATCAATTCCAGAACTACTTTGTGGGCTATGAGTTCTGCAGGTCTGCCATACTTGGCAAGTCATGAATGCGTCTTGAGTGATACAACAGTACTTGTCACTTGGACACTCCAGCATGTTATTGGTAGTTTCTTCTTGGGAACCAGCACTAGAACAATTCACCAACAATTGGGTTTCTCTGACTTTTTGTGAATAAACATTTCCCTTCACTGATCTGGGCTATTCCTTACTTTTGCAGAAATGCCATCAACGAGTAACGGAGAGAGCAGTAAACAGGAGCCTATGCAAAAGACCTGCAAGAATAGTGACATAGAAAAGTGAGTATGGCTCAGGAATGTCTGTCTTTGTTAGGGATGGCAAAAAAGACTGCCAGGAGCTTTCTATCAAAGGGGCATCACTGTAGCACTGACATGCTGCTTATGGCTTTCCTTGTGTAGTTCCCACATGTTTCTCATGCGAAACATATCCAGCTTTTAAACTCACACACAGTATTTATCTCTCCCCTAGCTGAATGTCAGATAGGTTTTCCCCCAATTTTTGCTTGTTTTTCATTCTTCATAGGAATTCCCCATCTGTAGGACGGAGGAAAATCCATTTTGTTTGTTGACTCTAAAAGTGAAAGGATGATTTTATATTTTGTTTCTAAGTCCCTATTGTAGTTTCTACAGCTTTAGAGGGATGATGGCAAATCTTCCCCTTGTGTTAAATTCTCAACAGTATCAAAGTGCTGCCCTTTTCCTTCCCTTGGGATGTGTTATTTTTCAGAAGCTTTACTTGATATGGCCTGCCTCTGGAAAAGAATAAGATTATCTTAACCTTCATTTCCATTGGGGATGAGTCACATGGGACTGGATCTTTTGCTTCACCAAAGTGCAGGGGCAAGCCTAAGGATGATACATGATGTTGCACTGTCTCCTTGCAGCAAGGCAATGCTATGTGCAGTAATATCCTATGTCATTTTTGTATGCTCCTAATTAGCAGAGACAAAATTGAAGTCTTAAGCATAGAAATAGGCTAAGGTCATGAGAACAAAAATATGAGACTATAGATGCAAGTTCCTTAGACTGCACCATGTTTCCGATGTCCCACAGTGCATACAGGATTATTAGCCAGTGATTTGTGTGAACAAGTCCAAAGTCTCAGGGCAATTATCTACCAGAACAAGGTGCTGGGGGGTTGAGTTGAATTCTCTGTTATTGTAGTCCAAAGCAGAGATGGGTATCCTGAGACCCTCCAAATGTTATTTTACTCCTAACTCCCATCACTTCCACCTGGGGTGGCAAATGGTCAGGGATGATGGAAGTTGTAGTCCCAGAGCATCTGGTGAGATATTGGTTCCCTATGTCTGCTCTTCTAGATTAACACTCTAGATTGGGCTACAATTTTAAATGAAATGCAGAAGGAAATATATTGCCTGCCTCAGCCTCCTGCATTTGTGTGCCTAGGAATTAAAAGCCAGGATTATAGGCTGTTCAGGACGTTGGAGGCAGAAATCAAGAGAGGGGTGAAAGGAGAATTTCATGATTTGATTAGGCATGAATGTTAGTTGTCAATGCATGCCAGCTTCCTTTGCAGGGATTTAGCTGCTTGTTGCCATTTTTTCACCTATCGCTTAGCCATCTTTTGATACTGCCTTCCATTTAGGAGACAGGAGAATTCAGTCTTCTTCAGCAGTCTGTGTCAATAGCATTAGTTACCAACACTTATCCCCCTCGGATCCTGGCCTCCCAAGCAGAGGTTTGACATTTTCCAGAACAATCAGTTGATGTCATCTTGATCAGATAATTTTAAAAGCTTTATTCAGTGTCTCTTGGCAGACCCCACATTCTTTCCAAGGTGGTGCATGCTATAATTCGGAGTTGTAAAGTATGGCACCCTCCTCTTTGTGACAAGTTAGGACCCCTTGTAGAGAGCACTGAAAACTTCCTGACTTCAGAAGTCAAAAATTACACTTGGATACTCAGCCCGCTACTTTTCTTAAGAAGGTAAAAACCAAATGCCATTTATTGCACTTTACAGCAATTTCTTGGTTCATGAGAAATCCCTTGTGGTAAAGGGTTACTGCTTTTTAGTTAGAGACTTAAGTTCCAAAGGGAACAGAAAACAAAATGTTTAGAAGCAAAGGTTCCAGCTGCGCTGTCCCTGCTCCTCCGGGAGTTGTGTGTGATAAATAGTTTGTGTTGTGATGGTTAAGGAGCTAGAATGTTGTGTGCGAAGGGGTGGGCTCTGTTAAATTAATTGATAAGTGGGATCAGACCTTGGGGCTTGCAGAAAGGAAGGTGTTCTTTTATTCTTACTGTCTGGCTGCTTTCACCTGCACTGCCAAGCCATGATGTATGGTGACCCAGTCCAGCTAGCTAAATTGATTCATCTCCAGTTCCTGCTTCTTAATCTAGAGCTAAATTGGTTTCATTTTTCTTGTTTTGGGTGGTGATTGTGGTGAGCTCTCCATGGGATCACTTCCTTCTGTTCATAACTTTAATTTTTGCTTTTAAATCTGGGCATTATTGATTAGTGTGTTAAGCTCCATGTAATGTCTGATTAGCATTTTAAAAAGTGTTTAGAAGCACATGGTTTATCACCTGTGTCAGCTGGGCTGTCCATTTAGAACAATGGTTAATGGAGTTAGCAGTGATTCTCTTTATTGATCCTACTTTTATAAGAATGACATTCATTTTCTCTTCCCTTTCCAAAACAAAGTCTAGGCATGGAGCGTATATTTTTAATTAGCTAATACAATACAGTAAACTGTCCTTGTTTGGGCGCAGAGCTAATGTACTTGGGTTGAAAGTTAATGGAATGTGTGCTTCAGGCTGCTTGTAGCTGAATCACTTGCATGCCAAGCAACTTACCTCGGTTCAAGAGAAATGTATTTGCTGATGGATTCTTCTTTGTATCTCATTCATCTCGTTTTTTGTTTGAATTTGATATGAAAGCTGCTATTGGCTCAGATCAGTCAAAATGGAAAATTGTGATTTGTTGTTGCATCTGAACTGGGTCGCTATGACAAGAAGAAAAAAAGATTTATCTCTTTTTTCCCCTTTAACTGCATGTGATGATTTCTATATGTAATATAATGTAATATATTTTTAGTTGTTTTTTTTTTAATGAGGATATTGCTTATATCTGATGGTTGTAGTCTAGAAGATACTAAATAGAGCAGCGTGGGATGAAATGCTCAGCTGTAGAAAAACCATGTGGGGTTCAGCTTTGGTTGTGTTGGTTGATGTTCAAACTGGTTTTTCTAGTCTTCAGTGCTTGAGCATGTATTCAGAAGTGATAGAATAACAGGGCTAGAAAGGGTTTACTGAGCTGTACAGCCAGCACAGGCATGCAACAAGAGCATCTGGCATAAGTTTTGCTAAGCTTAAAACAAGAACCTTTCAGTGCCTGGGATCCACCTTGGCTCCTGAACAACATGCAACCTGGGACTCAATATTCTATCTTGTGTGCTTTTTAAACTATATTTATTTTATTGTTTAATATGTTTCATAGATCTTTAATTCCCCTTTTAAGAATAATCTCTTCACAAAGCACCAAACATTTTATACATAAGCCACCTATATCCACCTCTCAGTCGCCTTATTTTTCTCCATCTCTTCTTTACATCAGTCTTTCTTCTGTAGTCACAGAGAATCTATTACATGCTGCTAGACCTTGCTGTACAGATGCAAGTGTGGCTTAGCCATCTGGACGGGCAACCAAGCCTCAGCTAGGGAATGCAAGAGTTAAGGAGAGTCTAGTTAGCCATCCTGACAATAGTTATTCTGTACTCAGGAAATCCAGCAGGCAGTCTAGTCAGTCAGTAATGACTGCAAACTAGTCCAGCAAGTCAGAAGCAGAATGCTGTAGCAGCAACTGCTTTTCTTGACAGGCAGATGCTCAAATTATTGTGAATAGCTGAACCTTGTAGTAAGGCAAGTGTTTTGCCTCCTTTGTTAATTCCTGTGGGACTGCTTTGTGAGGGATTTGGGTATTGGTGGACTGAAAGGGCTGTCACATGGAAGATGGGGCAAGTTTGTTGTCTCCTGCTCCAGATGGTAGGACCCAAACCAACAGATTCAAGTTATGGTAAAGGAGATTCCAACTAAACATCAGTAAGTACTTTGTGATGGTAAGAGCTGTTTGACAGTGGAACAGACTCCCTCAGAAAGTGGTGGACTCTCCTTCCTTGGAGGTTTTTAAGAAAAGGTTGGATGGCCATCTGTCATGGGTGCTTTAATTGAGATTCTTGCATTGTAGGGGGTTGAACTAGATGACCCTCAGATTCCCTTCCAACTCTACAATTATATGGTTCTATGATTTAAGTTAAGAGGCTAGTGGGGAACATTTCTTGGGAGCCTTGTGAATGCACATAGAGGTTGTGTGGAATAACTCCACAGGGAGTCTGTGTCTGCAAAGGAGCTAATTCCTCTGAGCATTCATCCTGAACTAATCTGGCAAAGTTGATAATAATGGATGAAAGCTTTTTGACCCATAATCCTGCCATATACTTTGTAAACAGGGTCTCATCCGTCCTCAAACAGTTTCCCCCCATCTATTCTTGCCACTGGAAAAATTGTCCCAATTCATTGGCATATGAAACTTTGAGACCATAAAGTAGCACAGAGGTAAAATGAAGCAGCTGCAAGCCACCAGCTTTCCTGCTGTTTTTTCTTCCAAACAGCTCTCCCAGTCTTTTTTGGTGTTTCTCTGTCATTCCACAACAGCATCCACCATCACCTTTCCATCCAAGCTTTCTCTATAGCCTCTCCATTCATTCCTAGGCCAACATGCTTCTCTTTCCTCCCACTATTCCAACTCCCATCCATCTCATTTTTAATATGGGATGCTTCCTTCTACTGAGTCAGGCGTCCATCTAGCTCAGCCAGCAACCCTAGGGCTTTGGACTGAATGCCAGGGGTTGAACCTGGGATATTTTGCTTGCAAAACATGTGCTTCACCAATATATGATTGGAGGGGGATGGAGCAGGAGCAAGCCTTTTGGGATTGTTTGGGCCTGCAGTTTCTGAAAAATAAACTACTCAAGAGCTATTAGTGGCTCTTGAACTTCAGCTTGGGATCCCTGCCCTAAGCCTTTCCTCTTGGAGTCTAACGCCAATGCATCTTATTCTGCCATCAGAATCAATTCCTACCTAGGAACAATTCTGCTGCTCCTCCTCTACAACAGCTTTTAAATTAGTTTAAGACTTGATATCATGTTTTCCTTCTTTCGGTAGTATCTGCTTAGATCAGCCAACCTTTTCTGTCATTTTGGCCCTCCCTCCTGCGTTGCTGTTCCCTGAATCTTAGCAGTGGTGCTAAGACTAGCCCACCTGTGTGTAGGCTGCAAACTCGGCAACGGCTCGTTTTCTCCTCCCTGAAGATGTGAGCCACGTTGCCTGGTGCCATCTTGAAATCAAGGCTTCCTGGGGTTAAGAAGCCAGCCTCTTAATTCAGAGTGCCAATGTTCAATTTTGCTTTCTGCCACCAAACTAGATTGCAGGCCAAGGAAAGAGTCTGGGTTAGTGCCCCACTGGGTCACCTCCCATTTGTTTTCCTCAATTTTGTGTTGTCATAAATTCATTCCAGCCCGTTGTGCTTGATCAGTTTATCTCTGTTGGGGCAGGGAGCCCTGCTAGCATGATATATGACATGAAACATTGTAGCCAGCCTCTCCATGAATCACTCCAGCTGTTTGTTGTCAGCATGAAAAGCAAACAGGCCAGGGCTGCCGAGTGTTGACTAGGATGAGCTCAGGTTGGGAAGAGACATGACGTATGAATGTTTATTTAATAATTCTCTAATATTTCCAGCGGAGTGTGGCTGTGCCTTCTGAGGTTGGGGGGGGGAGGGGGGCGGTTGAAGAGGAAACTCTAATCTGTCAGGGTGGGTCATAAATCAGGCAGACAAGATCATTAATCAGGAATGGAGCAAAACTAAAGGGAGGTGGGACTCGGCTGCCGTTCCCAAGAGCAAAGGGGCACGCTCTTCTTTTCCATAAAACAAATCTCATTTTGGATGCGGCTCCGGCTGTGTCGCTTACATAAGAGCAAAGCCAGGGCACTGGGCCAGTTAAGCAAGCGTGTGTGCTACCTTTGTCATAAGCCTTGGCAATTTGAGCTCGCCAAGCATTAAATCCCTTTATAATTATCTTCTTTATATAACTCTTCATGCTCCTCATGGTTGATTGGGCAAGGTGCTTGTTTGGTTTAGAAGAGGGTTTTAAAAAAGGGAGGTCAGTGTGTGTGTGTACACTCACGTGACAATCTTCTTCTTTCTTTCTTTTTTACTCAAATCCATTTTCTCGAATCCACTCCAAAAGTTAAGCTTTGGCATATTATCCTACAAGAATAGAAATGGTGTTCCAGAATTTGGCTCCTGAGATAAAACCAACTTTCTGGCTTTCATAGTCTGACAATTGCAGAAGCTAACTTCCTATGACATTGTTTAAAAACAAAACCCCATTTCTAGCTTTTGAGGATATGAAAAATGTTGCAGGTGATATCTGTCTACTCAGGTGCTGATGAGGACCTAGGGCTCCCATTCTGTCAGTAGAGGGAGCTGAGCCATTCATAGAATTGTAGAATTCAGTGGAGAAATTGGGTTTTCTCCACTGAAATGATGGGGAAATTGTTCCAGGCAGGGGTGCAGCTATAGAGGAACGTTAGCCTGAAGAACAGATGATTGATTTAATGTATGTGGCAGAAATGAGAGAAGTTCCCGCTGTGGAAGAATAAGAGTGGGAAAGTCCCTGCCCTCTTTTCAAACTGTTCTGTAGCTTAAAGACCACCTCATTCCTTCTGTTGCACACTTTATACCATATTTCCAGATATTGCCTTCTCTGTTTGCTAATATTATAGTCCCTTGCCAGATTTCAGCAAAATTCTGTTCTCAGGAAATATCCAAATAGGACAAATGGAATAAATTGTATACAGCTAAACAGATGTATACAATTGTAATTATTTTGTCTCAATATAAAACTTTGGCTATTTTGACCAAACTGCGGGAGGCAGTGGAAGACAGGAGTGCCTGGCGTGCTCTGGTTCATGGGGTCACGAAAAGTCAGACACGACTAAACAACTAAACAACAACGTGTTCATTTAAATTATGGATGTGGGGGATGGGGTGAGGCAAACTATTTAAAGGGACTATTACTATTTAAGACACAGCCACTGGAGCATGGCAGATGCTGCCAAGTGTGCCTTAGAAAGCCATAGAGTTAATGCAGATTTTTAAGAGAACTCTGGGGATGGGGCCATGCCTCAGTGGAAGAGCATCTGCTTTGCATGTAGAAGGTCCTTGGTTCAGTCCCCGGCATCTCCAGATAGGTCTGGGAGTAGCCCGTTTGAAACCCTGCAGAACTGCTGCCAATCAATGTAGGCAGTCCTGAGCTAGACAGGCCAATGGTCTGACTCTTTATAAGGCAGCTTCCTGTGCTTCCTACATGAGATTTATTTGTGCTTAATTCAGCAAGTTGTTTCAGAGCAGAAAACTGGCTAATATAAAATTACCCAAGATGTTATCTGCAAGCAGTTCCCCATAAATGTTTTGGGATTAATAGGCTAAAAATACAGAAAAAGCAGACACATGCCAAAAATAAATATTCAGTAACACCACAAGCATAGCTGTTTACATCTGGAAATCCCAGTTGCCTGTTGAGTTTGTGACTCTGTTTGCAAAATGTAAGCCTCAGTTTAGCCAAGGTCTTTAACTGTTCAGTACTACTTCCTGCATTAATCATCTTCAGGGCATATGTAAAAGAATCTGTGGGTTTGGAGGAGAATTTAAGGCAACAGTAAGCAATTCACACTATTTTACTGGGGGAAAAGGGTGGATGCTACTAGTGTGTCTGGTACAGGATTTGGCATCCTATAAACTTGGGCAATTATTCACGATGGGGGGGGGGGTTTCATGGTAGCCCAGAGTAGGTTTACACTAATGGTGTAATACACCATCTGCTGTAATTTCTCTTCAAGCAGAGTTCTAGCCTAGCATATGGAAGAGATCAACCCCGTTTACCTTTCTCAAAAGCATTTTGAGTTCTTAGTTGCAGTTTTCCTTGGGATCCACTTGAGAGAAAAACTCCAGCACTTCTGAAGAGTAGGGCAACTAGTGTGGGAGGCCAAATCAATTCTCCAAGGTAGCACAAGCAGTAGGACTTTCACTGCAGACTTTCAGGGGCAATAGAGAAACAAGTGAATCACACCCACCCACACCCCTTGCTAGGGCTCTTTAGCACATAGTTATTAGACATTAAAATGAAGAAGTTGGATCACCCTCATGGTATGAACTAAGCTGAAAGTTGCAACCCTTTGATAATAGATATATTGCTTTTATATCCTCCCCTTTTGAATTAGATGCTTTGTATTTGCTATTGGTTTTATTTAAACAAATTAAGTTTAAAAAATTGCTAAAATGTGTCCTTGAACTCATGCTTGTCTGGATGGGGGATAGAGAGGAGAAAGTGAGGGAGTTTAGAAACTAAACTGCTGCACATTGGTAAAATGTACATTTGTTCCTTCACTCACTTTTGTCTCTGATCCTGCCTACCACTGGCTTGTGGCCCCCAGAAGGTTTCCCAGAAGGGATGCGGCCCTCAGGCTGAAAAGGGTTCTCACCCTTGCACCAGGGTCATTTGCAGCATGAAGCACTGGAGAGCGCCACCCTTCCCTCACCCTACAGCTGGAATACTTCTTGCTGGCCCAAGCAATAAGTAGATTTAAAGGGGAAGTGGGTGACTGGATTGTACAGAGGAATGGGTTGGAAGGAATAAACTGAGAATTCTTTAGCTTGGATTCTAGTCTGAGTTTGAGAATAATTCAAGTCTCCTAAGGCTCACTTCTTCTTTGGTCAGATTCAAACCCTCCAAAACTTCTATCCATAGGAGTTCCAGAGCTATGGATTTCACTGGCATCTCTACTCCTGGAGACCACTACTGTAATCATAATTTCTGTGGGGTCTAATGTCGCTCTGTGCATGTTCCACAGTACTTACTGAAGTTGATTGTATTGGGAGCATTTAGGGTTTAGATGGACTATGGCCAGAGTAGAGGTTCAAGCAGTCGGTTGAGAATGCAAACAGGTGCACAGGATTCAAAAATAGAGTAGACTGTATGACGCTGCTAGTGGCAAGTGGCATTCCACTCCCAACCCACGTTTTGTGGACTTGAGGTGTATTTTACTCTTATTCTATTGTTATTTTCAGGCATTGTACATTCCATAATTGTATTGCTCAAAGTACAAGAGTCTTCATGTATTTTTGCAATGCTGCCTATCAGTCCACCTCCCCTACAGCAATACCTTTACATTTTGTGGATCTTTTGATATGATTTCATTTATTCAAAGGAATTCCCTTTCAAAAGGTTTTAATTGTCTGGAAATGCCCTTCACCTTTGGATTTTCCTCCCTCTCCCCCAAACACATTGAACCCCTGGTGTTCAGGTATCTTTTCGATCCCATTTCCCCCCCTCAGTTATTTCAAAGTTTCAACAATGCTGTTAACTTTAATTTGTAGAGTTGCTCCCTGCAAGTGAAAAATCGATGGGGGGCTATCACAGTGTGAAATTCGACTGTCAGTCTTGAGCTTATGGAGTGAGTAAGACATCTTCGAAGGGGGAAAAATCACAGTCTGTGCAGTGCTCAGCTGGGCTATTTCAAAGAGAAGGCAAGGCTGATGGGCCGTTGGAGAGTATTTCAGTTAGATGGATGATGATTCTCTGTGAAATACTGGAGTTAGCCTACAGGTAAGGGAAACCAGAGGTTAGAAAATACAACTAGTTTCCCCTGAAGAACTAAATTACACCTTGGGAACCTTGAGCTGTGTCATACAGGAACTAAAACCTGTCCCTAAAATCGGCCATTGCCTCTAAACAACAACCAGTAACAAATTAGTCATCATAACTTGCAGTGTTTCAGTTTTGCTCCCTTGTAAAGTTTATAATAAGCTCTTTGGGGCAAGTATTCCATCAAGTCTATACAGCACCTAAAAATGATTTGTATGCTTCAGTATAGGATTTGTGTGTTGTACATGACCACAGCATAACTTAAGATGATGGACTCAATTCTGAATCATGGCCATATAAGTTGCTGTTTCCTGTGACAGCCTTCAATGCTAGTACAGGGGCAGATTGCATATCTGACAGCAGAAAGTGGTACCCAAGAGACAGAATGAACAGTATAAAAAAGAAGCTCTGAGCTGCATGAATCACATGTGCTTTCCTTGCATTGTATGATATCTATTCTTATATCCTGGCTCAGAAGTCTGCAGAACTCTGCTCCCTTCTAGCACAGCAGTTTAAACCTGGGGGTGAGAACACTTTCCCCAAAAGTGAGTGGGCAGGGCCAGAAGCAAAAGTGGGCAGAGTAATAGCTGCATCTCTTACTTTTGTACAGTAGGCGACATTCCTACTGCATGGAAGTCTGAGGTTTCTATACACACCACAGACACCCCTCTATCCAGGTAAGCAAGCAAGAGCACATTCCACCCAGGCAGAAGCACTCAAGGAGGGTGAGAGCACAGTTGGTAAGGGATGTGGCCTTGGGGGAAACTCCTGAGAGCCGGGTAAATATGCCTGGAGGGCTACATTTGGCCCTTGGGACTGAGGTTCCGCCTGATTTAAGCAGGGGTTTGTCCAAACAGGTGAGGATCAGAAACTAAGATTTTATCTTGGCTTGTTTGGGCAAATAATAACAGTTTGGATAAAAAGGAAGTCGAGGCTTCCAAATTGCTCCTTGCAGTCATGCCAGAAAAGGAATGTGGGGAAGGGGGAACTCATAAACCTGAGGCTTGTTCACATACCACTAACCTATGATTTAGTTAATGTTACAGCCAGATGCAGCACTATTGCAGCCCAAGAACAGCTCAAATTAAGGGAGGAAAAGATCAAACTGGTGGAGTCCTGTTCCATTCTGATCTTTTGTGTTGTAGCTGCCCATTCTCTTCCCATTTGAGGATAAATGTGATGAAGCAAAACATGCAGAGTTGTGGTTTTTTTAGTGAAGCATTGTAAATTAATATTTTTACCATGTAAATTCACACTGGCTAATGTGGGTGAAACATGTCTCATGTTTCACATCCCCCCCAAAAAATGTTTGTGTGTGTTACTATCACCAAAATTAATGTGGCCTTAGTTTTACTATATTTTGCCCCCCTCCTATTAAAAGGCAGCTTCCTAAGGGCTAGAAGTGTGCTGTTTTTTGCAGAAATCTCAAATTTCCAGGACATTCAAATCTGCACCATTCATCTCTGCCTTGCACATCCAACTATAGCTTGGTATAAGGCGGTTACTGGAGTTTTGCTCAAATCTTCTCCCTTTCAGTGGTTCATATTTGAGAATAATAAGAGCATAAAAGCTAGGGCCTTGAGACCCCACAAGCTTCACCTTAATAGAAAGGCTTTTGTTGATTATCTGGGTGTTGTCTGTTTCCATGCACAACTCTCAACATAGCAATAATACCGCAGCCTGGTGGCAGCCTTCCTTCTTCCTGAGAGGTAGCTGTCAGGAGAGCAAGTTGATGTCTTTTCTGATATGGGTCTTTGTGCAAAAAAATTAAGCCGTTGTGCAGGATTTAGATGCATTTCCTCAAAGTAGTACTTCTCTTGTTGGGAAATTGCATTTCTTCATCATTCATTGAAAATATGCAGTCGTTTTTTCTGCACCGCTAGTGCTTCAAATATAAAATACCCTTGATAATTGCTGATGGTGAACAGCACAAGTCCTTATCCTTCATTCCTGTTATTTTGTGGCCTTTCTTCTTTAGATTTTAATTTACTAGAGAACAAATGTTCCCATCGTGTACAACTGAAATGCAGAAGTTTATGTAAGAGTTCAATTGTTTTTCAAGGTGATAGACACCAGCAACACTGCCCTTTCCTCCTGCGGTAATGCCTGCCCATTTTATGAATATTTTTACTTACATTTGTTCAGTTATTTAGTTCTGTGAATGATTTCAAGTTATTCAATGCATGTCTCTACCCTTCTTTTTTTTGTTTTTAAAGTAGGGAAGAACACAATTACAGAGTTCCTATGAAGCAACACGCACACAAAGTGGAACAGGCGCTTCTGGTCACCAGCTGCTTGTCAAATTTAGAGTTAGTTGTTTGCCAACTATCTTGTAGATGCATGATTGCCCGGATTATGCATAAGAACTTCAGTGCAAGCTTAGCCTTTCGGTACCCTCCTCCTGAAATAAATTAACAAAAATCCTTCTCAGTGGCTAACAGATCTCCACATCCCTGCTGATTCTTCTAATCGTGCTGACTCGGAAACTTCTTACTGCTTTCATTGATTGTTGGTGCCATCTGTCTGCAGTTTGATGGGGCCAGGCACGTGAGTCCCGGAGGCAGAGAAGGCCGAGTGCCAACTCCCGGACTCACTCTCTGGTTCTGCAGAGACATTTTGGGCTCCATGTCAGTGAAGGGATGGGGGGTGTGAAAGCAGCATAATGAATTCTTCTGTAGGGAAAATCTTTGGGGAATTGTTACCAGGTCCTAGCTAAATGTAGCTTAGAATGCCTTCTTGTGGCAGTAAGCTTCCCCTCCATGCCACTGTGATAGAGCATGCAAGTGTAAGAAGAATAATTCCTCTGCGGAGTAGAGCAACGCAACATGTTTGCTTTGCATGAAGATTAAATTAGTTAACAGAACTCCAAACTTGGCAAGCAGCTGGTGGCATTAACAAATTGTGCAAGCAAGTATAAAATAGAGGCACTTGTGACGCAGAGGGCCTCTGCTTTGCAGACGCGCACCCTTGCATGCAACTTCTTCCAAATTTTCAGCTTAGAACATGGAAATTAGGCCACAGAACACTACATTATTCATAACTTGGCAACCAGGAGCTAGGGCATGTTGCCAAACGAAGTCACCCACTGAAAGTACAGGTGAACAGCATTCTTAATATATTGTACTACAGAAATGCACAATTATCAAGATGGGAGGACACTCCTCTTGGAGAACAATATATTAGCATCCCTGCCAATTCCTCAATAGAGGCAGCATTCCTGCACAGAATTCCAAGTCAGCCTTTTTCAGAGAGGTTGATCTAAAAAGATATGTAACTGAAGAAATTTCTGTTTGCAGCAGGAAAGCCCGCTCCTTTATTGTAAGAAAATAATTGGGCATTTTGTCATTTCACCTCAATTTGATAATTTAGCTGTTAATCCATTTTCCCCCATTTGAATTAGACTGAAGTAATCCACACCTATTTTAATTTGTATGTAAGGAGAAATTTTAGTCTTTCTCATTCATACCAGTACGCATTCTCTTTCGTGTTTGCCACTGCCTTCCAGTTTGTTGATTCTGTTATGCCAGTTAAGTACCAAGAGGGCATGTTTGCACTTGCACCTTGTTTGCTTGTTTTGTGGAAAACTGAGAGATTAAAAGAAAAATATATATATATATATAAGCCTAAGTTGCTGAGTCACCCTAACATGCTGGAAAATAAATTAAGGCAATTTTAAATTCTCAGCACACTCTTTTCAGACTGCTTGTCAGTATAAATGATGTAGAAATGTTTAATGTGCTTTGGTGGTGCAAGTAAAGGAGGAGTAGGTTCTTCTTGGTCTCCAAGTACCTGGTAATGCTACTGCAGACACACCCTTTTCGGGTTGTTGATCACTCCAGAAAAAAGGGGAAATGGAGGTGTCCAGTTAATGGTTAAATCTTGGGATCACTTATGCCACTTATGAGTAGGCAGTGAGGATGTTTTGCTTCACTGAGTGGTCCTGATGAAGATTTGACTTTGATCCCAGATAGAGGGAGCAGAGAAACAACCTGGAGCAGCCCAGCTTTTAAAAATTCCCCATTCTCCTTTGAAGGGAGACATAAGAGCCCCTGTCGCATTTCCCAGAGAGACACCTTAATTACCTTTGTGCTTTTGAATACTTTTTGGGAAATACATGACTGCTTGGCTTGGCTTACATGAAATGATTGGGGCAAGTTGCCAATTTCCTTTGCATTGTGCAGTTTTCTGATTTTGCGCAAATCTGAGGGATCAAAATGAAAAACCCAGGCACTTTTCAACACAAATAGTTACAAGCCCAGCCAGTAAAGAAATGAAAGGATTGAGGAGGCAGTAGGGTTGTGCCCCTGTGCACAGTTCTGGAGGTTCTCCTGAACCACCCTCCAGCCAATTTTTTATGGCGGGGGGATGAAGATACTGCACAAGCGGAAGCCCTTCTGTGACAGGGCTCCTTAGGTGGATCCTGCCCTGACTTTTTGTTGCAGCGGCCTAACAATATTACTTCTCCGGAAATAGTTTTTACCAATTCTCCACCAGGCATATTTTCTAGCACATTTGTCCTTGTGCATGCATAACTGTCAACTTTTCCCTTTTCTTGTGAGGAATCCTATTCAGAATAAGGGAATTTCCCTTAAAAAGGGAGGAAAGTTGACAGCTATGTGTGCATGTGATTCAGCTGTAGTGACATCTAGTAGTGTGTGTCAGTAGTTTACTAATTATTGCTACTTCTACATTAATTTTGTATGCCACTTTCCCACATAGATGTCCCTTAGTGTTGCATTACAGGTTTTAGTGTTGCATTTACTGATTTTTTTCTCACAGGTTTATGCCCCCACTTATTCTGGAAATGACAATCTATTGTGCATCTCTGCTCAAAAGCAGTTCATCATCTCATAATTTTATTGTGAACAATACTTTCTTTTGGTGGAGGGTACCTTTGGATGCATATCTTTTATTTAACATAAAGTTCCAGGAAACAGTCCTGTATCTTAGCATCTATTTCTCGCCGCTAGAAAGAACAAGAGCCTGTGGGTTGTATGAGAAAACCTGAATTTTGTCTGAATTCTCAGACGCCTGAACACCAAAATAAATGACTGTGAAAAGAGTGAAAGGTCCAAGATTTCAGGTGTCGGAAGTAGCCTATGAAGTTTTATTGGTGTTGGATATAATCAGTTCTAAATGTGTTTTACAAGGGACATATAAACAGCAGGGCTATAAAATTTATGGAATGTTATGTACAGTGTGACTATTTATGAAGAGGAAGGAAATTTGTATTCTGTTGAAATAAACTGGAGAGGGAAGATGGGAAGGGAATTTTTTGAAGCAAAACTGGGAAGAAGGCTACAACAATGAGACAACACACACACACACACACACACACACACACACACACAGTGTGCTCATATCAGACCCTGGTTAAGAAGAACAAATAATAATTAGAGGGGCACTGTGGTCATGGCCCTTTCTGAGTTGCTAGACCTGCAGATTTGTAGAAGTAGCAAAACTTTCCCTTTTGGTTATTTTATGTTTTGTTTTTCTCCCAGCGGCACACCAAGGCAGAATAAGGTAAACAGCCTGTTGCGTCGTCCTCTGTACATTAGGTTTGGGAGTGGGGTGGAGGTATTTTATCCTATGGTTCTGCTCTAGTGCTTGACATTCCTCATTTGATTCAATCCCAACTTCTGGTGTGAGACAATTCTCACAGGCTAAAAATTTGATATATTTCATTTGATAGGTTTTAAGTTTCCTTCCTTTCCATTTTGGTGTCTCTCTGTTCTTGGAGTCTTCAGTCTCCCCTCACAAAGCCCTGCCTGTTTCTGCCCTCTCTTTTCCAACTTATTCTGCCAGAGGCCCAGATTCCCTTCCAGGCAATCTTTCTGGGGTGTGTACGGTAGGCTAATTTCTACACAAACTCTCACAACTACCTCTGTCCTCCATCCAGGCAAGCAAGAGGCATAATCAGAGTTCATGGACGAATTCCAGCCAGCAGGGGTGGTGAGGGCTGTGGGCTAGAGAGGATTCCCAGGCGGGGGGTTTCCCACCCCTGCAATAAAGGAATAAAACACTTCTGAATATGATAAAGAAAGCTGGCAGCGTTAACTGGCCATTCCTGCAGTGGGAATGAAGGGATAGTCTCTTTCTGAAGCCAGTTACTTATTCTGCCATGTTAAAGCCTGACTGAACCTTCCATGCTGGGGCAGCTATGTGGACTGTGGTGTGCTGGCTGAGCTGGAGTAGAGTTTGTACTTGTTCAGGCTTACTCTATGTCCCCTTCTCAGCTTTGTTAATAAATGTATATTTAACAATGTCTGGAGCATATGAAGTGATAATAACTAAATCAATACCTCCCTCATTGATTGTCCAGGATCCCTCCAGCGTGACGCATGCGGCAATGCAGTAATTTTCCAGCTAACTAACACCCTGATCTACAGCCTCACTATTGATTGACCATTGTATTGGGCAGGCACTGAGTGTTGTTGCTTATGCCTCTATTCTGCCTCCTTCTCTGATTCATTCGTTTATCACTGGACAGGGATGATCATCTGAGAGACTTTCACAAACTGTCCAGCGAGGGGAAGCCCATTAGACTCCTATAAACAAACCATTTCATGTCATTGCCTGCCTCTTCCTGACCAAGGTCTAATTTCTGTTGGTTGGTAGTGTGGTTTGTTATGATTGGAGTTGCTGCCCAACTCACCTGGCTATCGGTTGCTCATTTCTTTAGTGGCTCCCCACTTGTGGAAGAATGCTCTCCACAGGGACGCTCACCTGGCACCTTCATTACATATCTTTAGGTGCCAAGCAAGAACATTCCTCTTCTTCCAGACCTTTGGCTAATTAAATAATCTACAGCCTTTTAAACTGGGTGGAATAGTAATTGTTTTTGTTTGTTACGATGGAATGTATTCTTGTGCTTTTATATGGTAAACCACCCTGTTATCCTTGAATGATGCAGTATACAAGTATCATCACCATCACCAAATAACATTGGTTTCAGATATCTGACTTAGATTCCTGGAGAGGTGAGCTGACCTAAGCTATGTTATAGTATTGTTCCTGCTAGATGTCTTTGCTCTTGATACTTGAACTCATGGCTTAGCCTACCCCATGGGTCGGCAAACTAAGGCCTGTATGCCAGATCAGGCCCAATTGTCTTCTAAATCCAGCCCGCGGATGGTCCAGGAATCGCTGCGTGGATTTCCAGCGTGTGTGTTCTTTCCCCCTCTCTCCCTCTCCCTCACAGGGCGGCGGTGGCACCTCCTCCCTCCCTCCTGGCTTCTCCCCACCCTGCCTAGAGGAGGAAGGGGGCTGGGCTTTGTTGGTGGCAGCCCCTCTCTGGAGCCCTTTCACGCACCACTCATCTTCCCACCACCACCGCTCACAAGACACGGGAGTCACAGTTGGCTGAGCGCCCCTCTCGAGCGGACGCCATTTAAAGCAGACCCTCTCTGGAGTCCTTTCACGTGCTGCTCATTGTCCCTCGTTCATTCCTCCCCCCCCCAAAAAAAAAGTCCGGCCCCCCACAAGGTCTGAGGGACAGTGGACCGGCCCCCTGCTGAAAAAGGTTGAGGACCCCTGGCTCACCCTATTCTGGTACAGTGGTACCTTGGGATGCGAACGGGATCCGTTCCAGATTCCCGTTCGCATCCTGAACGCAACGTAAGCCGTGACGATGCATGTGCGCGGGTTGCGTTTTGCTGCTTCCGCGCATGCACGCAATGTCATTTTGAGCGTCTGCGCATGCGTGAGCAACGAAACCCGGAAGTAACGCGCTCTGTTACTTCCGGGTTGCCACGGAGCGCAACTCGAACGTGCTCAACCCGAAGCACATTCAACCCGAAGTATGACTGTACTGAGAGCTACATTTGTTAAAGTAGCAAACAGAATGGAACAATTGGTATCTGCAACAAAATGTTGCATTGTGGAATGCTCCTGTTCAAGGTTCCAGCTTTCCAGCCAACCACACAATTTTCTAGGATACTCTGTTCTCCTTCTCCCATCTTCTCAACACCCCCACCCACTCACACAGTTGGTGAGCCATGCCAGGTGCACTGGTCATACACCATCATCATTGGGTTGTTCTTCCAAGGTTTCCACTTTGTTTCTCAGGTCTACGTTTTTGTACCTCGGCAAACATTGGGGTTTCCCAAGTCTTCTGATGCCTCCCTCTACTGTCATTTTGTCTGCACTTTGAATCCACACTTGGACTATGAGTTTGCTGTTAGTATCTAAGATAAGGATCCTGTTTTGCTATAGAGGTTGGTTGGTTTCTCCTGGAGTCTGTGCCCAAGCCATGCAGTTAGTTCCCACCAGAATGGGTATTTGCACTTCTTAGGCTGTATGTGTACTCAAGTAACAGAGTAATCTGTGGTTGCTTGGCTCTCTGTCATCATTCACAACTTGATTTATAATATTCCCTGGTTGACAGGGCAGTGGCTGTTTTGAGGAGAGAGAAAATGAAATGCTAGACTAAAGAAACGTAATTGTTTTGTGTGGCATAAATGTCAATTTATCCGGTTTATTTCGTTTCCTTCATTCTAATTGCTATATTTGGGTTTGGATGCTTCTGCAAGGTTTGCAGTTACTGATACAATATATTGGTTGCTTTTTCTATGCATTGTCAAAATGTGGTAGAGATTTTAATGCTAATAGCCAAGTTGCGCAAACTAAAACTTCTTGTTACAGCTACGTCCCTTTAGCTAGAACATTCCAGTGTTCAAGTTTCATGGGGGCATCTGGGATCTTGCTGCTTTCCCTCAGCCTTTTTTCTATTGCATACCCCATGGGTATGTTGCAGCCGTTGCGCAACACTACACTTTCAGATGTGCCCGTCCCCCTCATTTATGTTAATTTGGCATCATCTTGTTCGGTCCTCTTAGAAAAGGGACCAACACAATTTCAATACAGTGGTACCTCAGGTTACAGATGCTTCAGGTTACAGACTCCGCTAACCCAGACATAGTACCTTGGGTTAAGAACTCTGCTTCAGGATGAGAAGAAAAATTGTGCGGCGGTGGTGGGAGGCCCCATTAGCTAAAGTGGTACCTCAGGTTAAGAACAGTTTCAGGTTAAGAACGGACCTCCAGAACGAATTAGTTTGTGATCATGCATGCTCTCATGCTCTCTCGCCTCCTCTGGAAATACTATATGGCATTGATCCACTAGGACTGGGTTCGTGTATTCTGTACCCTGCTCCTTGACCTTTGTTCTTAAACCTGGTGGCTAAAGTTGATTCTCAAGCCTCAGGCAGTCTCTGCTGCTTTGATTCTATTTCTTGAGTTACTTTTACCAGGAACCAACATGCAAGCTGCCATCATGTGGCTTTGCTCTACAACATTTGGCACATATGAAATCGGTGATTTCCCCCCCCCCTCTTAAGAATCCAGCCAGCCCTGACTTTCTCATCTATTTTAGGATTACAGAAGACTCAGCAGTGACAACGTTTGAGGCGCTAAAGGCTCGTGTCCGCGAATTAGAAAGGCAGCTTTCCCGTGGGGACCGCTATAAATGTCTCATTTGCATGGTGAGTAGCTTGCCAGTTGTGGTCACGAATAAGAAAATGACTCTGTACCTCTGCCTGCCCTATAGGAAGGTGGCACAACTGGTGTGGAGAAACTAAAACCTTGTCTTTTGTCCCTCGATTCTGGATGAAAACGGCACAGCTCGGGAATATGTTTCAATGTGTGCTGCTGTGGTGTGGGCGACATATTGGACCCTGCAGATCTCCCTGTGTCCATGTTCCTGTCTCCCTGCATATACTGTAGGGTTAGAATACGGCCTATTAGCCAAACTCTTTCAAAGTTGTTGATTGTCTACTACACCCTGATGAGGAGTGCCTTGGCTCCTATGATTCACTTACTAAAGTGCTGAAGCGCCCTCTAGTGGCTTGGCGTCTGTAACTTTTTACATCTCTGGTTGCAGGGATGCTGATATCTTTCCTTCAAATTGTATCTCTATTTAAGCCCCTCCAAGCTCCCCCCCCCAAAAAAAGGAATAATGGTATCACTTGTAAGGCAGATACTGGGAAGTGTGTGTGTTTCTCCTGTTAAATTTTGAATATGATTCCCTTTTCGGCCCTTTTAAAGCAGGGATGGGGAATTGGTAGCCTTCTATATGTTGCAGGACTGCAACCCATATCATCCTAAGTTGGCTGGAGATGATGGGACTTGGAGTCCAACACTCCAAAGGTTTGCCACCACTCCTCTAAAAGGGTATTGCTACTGGCACTGTAATTGCATAGTTTTAATATACTTTGTGTCCTCCACCCCCAATAAAATAAAATAAATGTCAACATTACTTGCAGATCATTTGGGATTGAAAGGATATAGATATTTATAAAACTGTATTTTCTTAAAATAAGAAAAATGGAAAACTTGCTCTCCTCCTTTGCAGCAGTGACCTCCAATTCAGCTTACAATATTCGCTGAAGAATGAACATTTCTCCTGTCCATACTATTTACTGGGAAAGGCTTTTCTTCCTGCAACAGCTTATCTTTCCTTCCTCCTCATCCCCCTGCAATATTACATTTGTACAGTTGTCACACTATTGCTGCAGGACTAGGGCTCACATCTGCATAGCATCAAGGGGAAGGTTGCTTCCATTACTACAAAATAATAATAACAATTCTTGTACAAGTCCTTAGATTTAATGTTTTAGTTTTCTTTGGTTATGAAAACAATTAAAATAAACTGTGGGTGCTAGGGAAGAAACTCAAACGATAGAGTAACAGAGTGAAGTGCCTCTTTTCTGTTGTAAAAAGAATAATCATACAATAATTAGCTGTCATAAGAGATACTTGGCAAGTCATACTGTAAAATCAGGATATTCAAAATAAGGATTGATGCTGTTTCTGGCAAGCAGCTGTCATAAACCTGTTGATTTTTATTCCATTATTGTTCCCATTTGTACAGCAAGAGGTGATTACTATAACAGCTTGTTTTGTTTCTATCTACAAGTAAACATTGTGCTACATTGCAGTTGGATTATTAATAACAATACAGTGGTACCTTCAGTTGCAGACAGGATCCGTTCCAGAGCTCCGGTCGGATCCTGAGGTTTTCACAACCAGAGGTGCCTGTTCTGTGCATGCATGTGGCGCAGTAGAGCGCTTCTGCACATGCTCGTGTGGCGAAACCCAGAAAAATACTTCTGGGTTTGCCTCGTGCGTATTCCAAAGGATACGTAACCAGAGGTGTTCGTAAGTAGAGGTACCACTGTACTGTTATTATTTCTTACAATTTCTTAGGTGAGGCCTTCTAAAAACAACCTTGAGGCAATTTGCAATATAAAATACAAGCAATATAAAAATATAGAAGAATTAAAACAGAGACCACAGCAACCAACTAGTTGATATAAATTCTGAAAAGTCAAATGCCCAGCAGAACGTAACAATAGTAACAATCATATGCCTGGGTGAAGAGGAAACTTCCTAGCACCAGAAATATATTAAGTTACTGCCAGGCAGACCTTGATGGGTAGAGCAGTCTGTAAACATTCTATTAACACTGAAAATTTCTTTTGTCTGAACTTCTCTTATGGAGGGTACATGGATGAGGGTCTTGGAAGATGACCTCAGGGTTCATTCTGGTATGCCTCTTTCAGAAGAGGCACAACGCTTTGAGGTTATGATGCTTTCCATTTCATGCCTAGCCCACTGTGTAAGGAATATGATTACTATTATTATTAATTACCAGCCTAGTAATTAAAGCACAATATTAAGAAAAGTTTAATCCCCCAGATGTAGTGTATTCTCAACTGCATGTGAATCTGAAGCTATGCTGTGTGGATCACATGAGAAAATGAAGGTGTACTGGTACAGTATGTCCTCTACATCCTGCCCCAAGAGCTCAGGATCTAATAGGGGATTTCTCAAAAATTTCGAGTATATGATGAGGCTGTCTCAATTTTCTTTCCACAGGACTCATACACGATGCCCCTGACATCCATCCAGTGCTGGCACGTGCACTGCGAGGAATGCTGGCTGCGGACTCTGGTGAGGCTATTAGTTTCTTGGGTGGTGATTCATACATTGTTTCTTATCCTCAAGTATTTTCCCATCGCTCTCAGCCTTTTGGCTAACATCAAGTGTAGTATTTTCCCTAGTTCAAGTTACAGTTGGATTGGAGTCTTCCCCAGGGATTCAGTGAATTTAATTTAGGGTGTATGGATTCTCCCACCTCCTTCTCTAACACTAGTGGCAGGATCATACACCTTCTTGTTAACTTTGTTGCATGTGATTTGGTTGGAAAGGTACTTGACCTCATTTCCAACATCACAAGTTGGATGACGTGGAGGGTATCCCAATGAGCTCTACACATTGGGCAGTATCCCCTTGAGACTCTAGCCCACTGGGTTTTCACTTTGCACCCATGCTTCACCTACCCATCCCTATAGCCTCTCTCAGCTCTTTTGAAGAAGATGCAAGAAACTGCGCCACTGAGTGTTGAGTATTTAGGTCATGTGCTAGAAAGAAAGCATGCTGCAGGAGTATGACTAAATAACTATGGAGGTGCAGGATTCAGAGGAGATTGCAGACAGTCGTGGAATGGTAGGGAGAGGCATGTTGACTCCATGGGTCTGTGTTTGTGTGAGTGAGAGTGCATATAAAAGAGAATTTTTAGGTGTGTGTGTGTGCGCTCGCATGCATGCATGTGCAAGTAATATAAAATGAGTTTCTTCCTTTCAGATTTTCAAGGAAGGTGCCAAAAGATTTTGTAGTGCACAAATAGCTCAAACACATATTTGCAGATCTCCAAGAATTTAATGAGGAGAGAGTGACTATTTGCAAGTTGCAGAGATGCACATCTTTGGGATACTCCTGTACATGCATCTCAAAGATGCACATATAGGGGACAATAACCAGAAGCAGACCTGCAAAGAATCCATTAACACTACAGAGAATCCAGTATCCCTGCAGCCCTATTACACGTTTCTGAATGAAACGCAGCATAATCATAATTTATAATATAATTTTACAACCAAGTAACCATTGAAGTTGTATTCTTTTTTTAGAAAAAGCATAGAAGATTGGCCCCAAATAGAGAAACATAATGCTAAAAAGACAAAAACCCAAAATAGTGCAAAGCAATAGTTACTAAAAGATCCATTCAGCCTTCACCTCTTCCTTGGTGAGGAATGTCTATGAAGACAGATCTGATCTCTAGGCATGAAGCTCTAAAACAGAGATTACACACACATTTTGCTAAGTTGCCCTGGGAACCTGTTGTAGGGCAGAATATAAAGTATTTATATAAAACAAAAGAACACAGGTCAGTTTTTGTGTAAACATAAGATCAGAACATTAAACATATATTTCAAACAAGTGATCTCTCTTTAAGACAGAAATATTTTAAAAGAAAAAACTGTGCTACAGCATTTACCCCTACAGAATCTACCATCTGTGGCTGTGTTTAAAAACTGCTAGCCACATTGTAAAAGTATAATGTCTCATACAACGTTTCTATCACACTATTATGACACATGCAGGCTCCCCACCCACCCCGGCATTCATTGTAAAACCAACAGGATTAACAGGCAGATGCCCTCAGTGCCACTTTCACAGACTCGGGGACACCCCATATTCCTGACAGAAGCCTGGATATGTATTTTGCCACCCAACACCTTTCTGTCATGTTAACTTGGATGGTAAGCTTGGATGGGCTTGGATGGTAAGGTGTCATCAGTTAAATATAGTAGGGGGACCTGGTCTGAGGAACAAATATGCTTCTCTAAAGAACCCCTCAAGCTGCAGTTTGGCACTGAACGTTTGCTGTTCTAAAAGCACATCGAAAATAGTAAAAAATAAAATTTATTTGAGATGCACACAGAATATTACAGCTTCTTCAAGTAACTTTCAGCAGGGTCATTGCATACAAAACCCAAACAGAGTTGTAAGCTTTGGGGTGGAATGCATCTCTTACTGTCTCGCTTTTGAAAAAAACTTAACTGTCTTTGGAAGTGAAACTGGAGGGAATGTTTTACTACACCTTGATTTAGAAGTTGCTAGGGCTACTGGGAACCAGATGCAGTTAATGGACAGGATCCAGCTTGTGGGCTACCAACTGACTATCCTTGATCTTATTAGTTGACAACAGTTGCTTTCTGAAACTAGGTGTTCAACGGTTTTGTTCCTTTTGTTTAGCAAAGCATATTTGCATGCATACCACTTAAATTAGATGGAACTTGGTGGCCTTACTGCTGCCCCCTTCCCCATCCCAAAGTTTCAGTCCCAGTGCCTTTTTGTTGTTGTTCATAAGATATGGCTCCCAGTACTTTTCTGAGCACAATTCAAACAGTTGGTGCTGACCTTTAAAGCCTTAAATGCCCTCAGCCCAGTATACCTGAAGGAGCGTCTCCACCCCATCATTCAGCCCAGACCCTGAGATCCAGCACTGAGGGCCTTCTCGTAGTGGCGCCCACCCTGTGGAATGCCCTCCCATCAGATGTTAAGGAGATGAGTAATTATATAACATTTAGGAAACATCTGAAAGCAGTCCTGTATAGGGAAGCTTTTTAAGGTTTAAGGTTTTATTATGTTTCTATATATGCTGGAAGCCAGCCAGAGTGGCTGGGGCAATCCAGTCAGATGGGTGGTGTACAAATAATAATATATATTATTATTATTATTATTATTATTATTATTATTGATTAATTACTTCTATTACTACAAATAATTCTTGAAGCAAGTCTTAAAATGCTTGCCTCTCTTTCCAACGGAAGGTAAAAAGATCACTAAAACTCCAGAGGCAAGGCTACCACTGGGCAATATCCATACATTACTGTTCCTGTATATTCCTTTTGTGTGTATCTTGAATGAGACACAGGTAGGCCCACCTGTATCTTCTTTCTTTCTATTTGAGTGCCATGCAAAGCAGTCCTGCTGTTGTTTTTTTACTGCAACAACTATATTTGCAAAAGGGAACAGTGCTGAAAATTGGGATAGCATTGATGGGAGGAACCCGTTCAGAGTGGTGCCCCAACACAGCCTGTGCATGTTCCCTGCACTGACCAAACACAACGTTCAGAGTTGGGAATTGCGCAGGGGATGTAATTAATAAGCAGCCGCTCATCTGTTCCCCAGCCCTCGCCTTTTCCCTACAGCCCGCAATTTATTAAAGCGGGGCCTTTTGCGAGGCAGGCTCTCACTAAAAAACCTCTCAGCCTATGTTCGCATGTTTCTAATGTAACCATTAAAACGTAGCCCGAAGACAGCAATAAAAACCCTGGAACGCCTTAGTGCTTTTGTGTCTTGATCAAAGTCAATGTGTGTAATCTCGTTAAGGCTGCCCTTCCCTCCTCCTCCTCTTTATGAATTTAATGGCACGCGGCAGCTGGGCTGGGTGTTTCATACTCTCTGACCTGCATTGTTCTAATTAAGGTATCTCCTTTTATTTTGGGCACAAAAGAGACGCTTGTGTGTGCCTACTGTGTATGTGTGGTTTTTTAGAGTAGCAAGGAACCTTGGCGTAATGGATTTAATAATTGCCACAAGTTACCTTTCTTTGGATGCAAAGCTGGCTTTCTTCCCTCTTGGTGAGGAGAGTGCCGCGAGTCCTCTGTGTGCAGCACACATGGAAAAATGTGCTCCGTAAAGAGGGCAGCATATTTCTCATGTTGTGCAATAAACAATTTGTTGCAGTTAATGGGAGTTATGGGGCGAGGCTGGCTTGCTGGGCTTCCTGACATGTTTGAACATTTCTGGAGATTTGCCATTCTTCCCCCCGTTAGGGAAAAAGTCAAGCTTTTCCTTCTGTGTCTGTGTTTTATATGACCAGACTAAATGTTTGCTTGGACTTCTTTGTACTGCGGACTAAGTAAGGAAACTGGAAACAAAGTGGGCATGAAATTCTTAAATTAACATAGGGATGAACATACTCTATGTCTCTGCCTGAGCCAAAGCATTCTCTATTCACTAACACAGGAATCACTGAAGAGCTGACCTGCAATATTTCTCATTTTTGACTGGCCTCCCAGAAATGACTGTCACGTTCTTCGCTCTGGGTGACAGTTTTACCTGCTAATCATTAATATGTCATTTTCGGTGCATAAAGTTATTTTCCATCCTTATCCTTTTCATCTCCCCAAGAACAACCATGTTTAGCTGCTTTCCCATTTCCCATCTGGGAACTATAGCTGTAACAGCCCTGATATTGGAAATACAGTTGCTGCATTTGTTGAAAGGAAACAGAGTTTAAAAAGGCAGTGGGAATAAAAGACTACCCACAGCGATGAGAGATTTGGACCCAATTTAATCCTGCTTTCTGGTCAGCTGGAGCAACTGCTTCCAAAGTAAAAAAACAGTGCAGTCTGGGACATAGAGAGTTATTAGGGTGAGGAAACTGAAGCGGGAGAAGAGGATGTTTTCTTTTTCCTCTTCCTCTCCATGTATAAAATTAAGTTTGTAGCAGAAAAGCTTGTTTGCCTTCAATATAGTGACCCAATTTAGATGTAAGGGAGGTAAACAAAGAGCCCAGGATTGGACAGCACACTAAAGCATGGCAGCAAGGGAGGGAGGAGCAGAGCAGCTGTAATTTCCTCTCTGGGAGCCTGCAGGTTAATGCTAAACCATGGTTTGACTTAGCATTACGTGCAAACTGAGCCGGTAGCAAAGCTTACCAGGTTGCATTTGAAGATGTACAGGTAGCACTTGTCTCTAGTGCATAGCAGTTTGGGGGTTCCTGTTGCCTGCATGGCTTCCTGGCAGACCTTGTGGATAATTATCTTCTCCACGTAGAATACTTTTAAGAGAGGGAACATACTTTGGCAAGTAAGATGAAACAATATTAGGCTACACAGACTAAAGTCTGATTCAGAATAAGGCAGTTTTTTAAGTGTATACTGCTCAAATATTCAAAACTCTTTAAAAAAATCAAAATGCTGGAACTGCATAGAGCCCAAGCAAATCTATTATTGTTGTTATTTATTAAATGTCTATACCGTCCTTCAGCCAAAGATCACAGGGAGGTTTACAATATAAAACACCAAAACATACCACAATAACAAACAAAAACAATACCCCCATATGCACACAATTTAAAAAGCCATAGATAGTTTTAATTAGCCCAAAGATGTGGGAGTAGAGGAATGTCTTGCCTGATGCCTAAATATATGTAACTTATGCATGGATTATATAACTGTATTCATTGATAGATAGATTTGAGTTTTTGTGCAGGATTTTGAATTGTTTTAGCCCACTCAGTTGAAGATACATGCATCAAGTGTCTGATACTGCTAGGTGGTATGCAAACCTTAGAAACAATGTAGGCCCCTGACTGCAGCATACAATCTAGAGCAAAAGTGAGGAGCCTGTGGCCTAAGAGTCCCATGGGTCCCTTGGCCTAATCTCATGTGGGTGGGGGAGCCCAGAGGGACAGAAGGAGAATGGGGTGTTGGAGGAAGTAACCTGAAAGGTAACAATGGAAATGGGAGGTGGGTCCCCTGTAATTGATCAGTACAGAACTATAGCAAGAGTTACCTGCCCCTCTCCTGGCTTGCCTGCTGGGCAGGGAGAAAGTAGGCGATTTGAAGAAAGGAAGAAGGGATGGCCTGCCCATTCTTTCTTCTGGCCATGCCCACTGCCCAGTATATGACTCCTGGGAGATTACTTTTGAGAGATTTCTGCCCTTTACAGAAAAAATAAAAATCTTGATGCAGAAATTGACAAGACATATAGGGGGAAAGTGAAAGAAAAGGAAAGAAGTGTCAGTGAGGATAAGCCAGGGCGTTTAACCTCACCCCAATGAGTACATTGTTCTTATAACCTTTCCCTGCATCTCTCCTCTCTCTTTTCCTCCATACACCCTATGCAGGCTTGGGTGAACGGCATAGCTCAGGTGTTAGGATCATGATTATGCTTCTTGCCCCTCCAGAATCTTGTGGTCTTGGTCCTCTCCCTCCTTTGGTATGTGTTCCTCTTTTTCCCCATCCATAACATGGTGATTGCATAGTTCTCTTAGGCAAGGCATTGATGAGCTTGTAACCTTTGAGTGAAATTTGTTCTCTAATCTCTTCAATGGCAAAGCTCCCGCCTCTTTTGCAGATCAGGCAAAGGAATTATCGTGCGCTGCAAATGTTCAGTTTTCCAGGTTTTGAAGAAAATTCTCCACCATGTTCTCAAAGCACTGTTCCTTCCTGACATAGTGTGAGATATAATGACTTTGCAAAGTGGGTAGTACTCATTATTTTTCAAAACTCCCCAAAGTGATTAGCCTGCATTCTAGATCAATCACTTGCCAAAATTTAATTAAGAATGCGTGGGGGCAAATAAAACCCTTCTCTTCATCATTCCTTTTTGGTGCCGTGTTTCAGCCCCGGAGCTACGTTTTGCAGCCGGGTTTTATAAACCCTGGAAAACTGGGGTTTATAACGGAAAAGCTGAGGTGGCCTTCAGTGCAGCGTACACTGCTGTTACCCATCAAGGCTTTTCCATGGGGCCACGATGAAAGGAGCAGGAGGACATTTCAGATATTTTTTTTTCCATGTTCAACAGGTGTGGCTTATTATTCCACAGTATTTTTATTTCAAGGGAAAAGTTTAGTAACCCCAGCTGGCAGGTGAGCAGGATGGGGTTGGGGGAAGGAAGTCCTTTTTCACTGGCTCCATGCCAGGGCATGTGTGAGAGGCTTGTTTAATTGCTTCTGTAACGAGTACTATATGCAGGGTTGAGAAATGTTTAAATAGAAGAGTGAGCCTTTGAGTGCCTTAAACTTCTGTTGCGCATAGCCCACATCCCTGGATGTAATCAGCAGGCCTTGTAGCTTGCCATTCAAAATGCAGTTTCTCTGTGTGACTGGGGTGGGTGGGCTGAGGCGAGATCTGTTCTTGGAATAAATTGTTCATGTTGAGCTTCCTCAGAGTAGGTCGGTATAAGTCCGCAACCTTTGTCTTGCTTACCTTTTTGTGTGCAAAATACCCTTATAACTCATATTTCATTTACCCTCATAGCATCTGCTGTTATAAACTAGGCTGCATCATCCACAAAAAATTAAGACAAGTTTCCAATACCTGAAGCTAATATTCTGGGTACTGCTTTTGGTTCAGTTGGGATACATTTTGTTGCATAATCATGATTGGTATATAGGTAACATGAAATATGGGTTGGGGCTCATAAGACATGGTAGAGGTAAGAGGGGTGGGAGTGGTTCTGAGAGAGCCATTAAGTTCAGATACTGAAGCCTGTAGCATAAACTTGATGTTTTCATGTTCTCTGCAGCCATGATGGCTACCTACTTGGGAGCCAGCACTGATTTCAGCATAGTGGTTTACTAGACCTGTTGCTGATCAAGGAGACATGGGGCAACTAGCACAGGGGAATCTGGCTGCAGGCACAGATTTGGCAGGGTCTTTCCTCCCTCCTCTAGCAACAACTGTATATGCCTCTACTTTGTGTATATTGACGTACTAAGGCAGATGGGGTGAAGTAATATAGTGCTTGTTTTTAAAATCTTGGGATTGCTTATCAAAGGGTTTTGCTCAGATAGTTTTACAATTTTAACTACCTTTGGATACTAATCTTTTAAATCCTGGTAGCTTCATCACTTAATTCCATTGCCTCTGTATTATACAGTTCTCAGAGTCTACCTCTTGTATATCTTCTCCATTTATTTAAATATTTATAAGTGACACTTTTGTGAAAATACAACAAAGGGTACACCATTCAAAAATTACAGCCTGTGATTCCAGAGCTACATCGTGCATTCAAAACCACAAAAGGGAGGTTGGATTGCAGACAGGATGAACTGATCATTTTTCTAAAGTTAGGTGCTATTATTTGATTCCCTCTCATTGCACTTCTTAGCTGATGTCCTAGGCTGCATTTGCTTTCAGAAAAGACACATACAGTGTTGCCTGTCGCTCTTCTCATCTGCTGTCTGTCACACCTGCCAAATCAAATGATGACTGGCATATGTTGACCCATATTCAGAGACTTACCGTATTTTTCGCCCTATAGGACGCACTTTTTCCCCTCCAAAAATGAAGGGGAAATGTGTGTGCGTCCTATGGAGTGAATACAGGCTTTTGCTGAAGCCTGGAGAGCGAGAGCCTCTTGCTCTCCGGGCTTCAGGAAGCTCCGTGCGGGGCTCCCGAGGGTTCCGCGGAGCTGCCTGCGCTCCCGGGCGTGCAGCTCTGGCTCCCGTGCTGGGGTCGGGGGAAGCTCAGGCTTCCCCCGCCCCAGCCCCACGCAACCTCCCAGAGTGATGCCGAAGCTGCGCTCAGCTTTGGCATCGCTCTGGCTCCCGTTCTGGGGGCTGGGGTCGGGGGAAGCTCAGGCTTCCTCCGCCCCAGCCCCGCGCCTGTACGGGGGGAAATAAAATTTTTTCCCTTTATTCCCCCCCCCCCCCAAATCTAGGTGCGTCCTATGGGCCGGAGCGTCCAATAGGGCGAAAAATACGGTAAGTTAACACCCCGACCTGTTAGGTTAATTGATAAATTGTGTCAGCCATTGTTTTGCTTCATTCAGTTTTCAACTTCCTTTTTCCTTGCCCAGGTTTCAGTTTCCCTTACTGGTGCAGATGAAATCTTTATGTCTGTTCAAATGGAAGATGAGTTTTCTGTCTTTGGTTATTGAAGGGAATAATAATAATGATGATGATGATGATTTATTATTTATACCCACCCATCTGGGAGGCTTCCAACAAAATATTAAAATACAGTGATCTGTTAAACATTAAAAGCTTCCCTAAACAGGGCTGCCTTCAGATGTCTTCTAAAAGTCTGGTAGTTGGTCTTCTGTTTGACATCTGGTGGGAGGGTGTTCCACAGGGTGGGTGCCACTACCGAGAAGGCCCTCTGCCTGGTTCCCTGTAACTTGGCTTCTTGCAGTGAGGGAACCGCCAGAAGGCCCTCGGCGCTGGACCTTAGTGTCCAGGTAGAACAATGGGGGTGGAGATGCTCCTTCAGGTATACATACTGGACCAAGGCTGTTTAGGGCTTTAAAGGTCAGCACCAACACTTTGAATTGTGCTCGGAAACGTACTGGGAGCCAATGTAGGTCTTTCAAGACCGGTGTTATGTGGTCTCAGCGGCCACTCCCAGTCACCAGTCTGGCTGCTGCATTCTGGATTACCGTATTTTTCGTTCCATAGGACGCTTCGTTCCATAGGACGCACCTACTTTGGGAAATAGCGAAATTTTGCCCTGTATTTCCCCAAAGCCAGATCGGGGAACAGTAGGATGGCAGCGCTGCACTCCCGTTGTCCCCGAGCTTGGAGGCTGGCCCATGTCTGCCCGGCGTGAGGGGCGCTCTGCTTCAGGGCGCCCCACCCGCCGGGCGGCAGGCTGCAGACACCTGCGCGAAGCACAGGGCGTCCTCCGGAGGGCGCCCCGTGCTCCGCGCTGCAGGCTGCCGTCCGCAAGCCTTGCGCTCCCGGAGGGAGATCCCTTGCCGACACCTGCGCACCTGGTCCTTCAGGGGCACAGTTACCCTATTCAGGACCAGGGAGTCCTCCACACCCGCCCGCCTCCTGTCCCCCCAAAACAGTGCTTCTGTCTTGTCAGGATTCAACCTCTGTTAGCCGCCATCCATCCTCCAACCGCCTCCAGACCTTCACTGCCTTCACTGTTTCCGATTTGAAAGAGAGGTAGAGCTGGGTGTCATCCACATATTGATGAACACCCAGCCCAAACCCCCTGATGATCTCTCCCAGTGGCTGCATGTAGATGTTGAAAAGCATGGGGGAAGAGGCCAGAACCCTGAGGCACCCCACAAGTGAGAGCCCAGGGGTCTGAACACTCATCTCCCACCACCACTTTCTGAACACGGCCCAGGAGGAAGGAGCAGAACCACTGTATAACAGTGCCCCCAGCTCCCAGCCCCTCTAGACGATCCAGAAGGATGTTATGGTCGATGGTGTCAAAAGCCGCTGAGAGATCCAGCAGAACTAGGAAACAGCTCTCACCTTTCTCCCTAGACCGCTGGAGATCATTGACCAGTGCGACCAAGGCAGTTTCAGTCCCATGGTGAGGCCTGAATCCTGACTGGAAGGGATCCAAATGGTCCGCTTCTTCCAGGCATGCCTGGAGTTGTTCAGCAACTACTCGCTCAATCAGCTTGCCCAAGAATGGAAGATTTGAGACTGGGTGATAGTTGGCTATATTGGCAGCATCTAAAGATGGTTTTTTAAGAAGCGGTTTAATGACCGCCTCTTTCAGCAGGTCTGGGAAAGCTCCCTCACAGAGAGAAGCATTCACCACCCCACGAAGCCCATTGCCCAGCCCTTCCTGGCTAGCTTTTATAAGCCAGGATGGGCAAGGATCAAGGAGACAGGTGGTTGGTTTCACTCGTCCAAGCAGCCTGTCCACATCCTCGGAGGTAACTGATTGGAATTGATCCCAATAAGGGTTCTCAGAGGCTGTGGTCAGACTATGCGTATTCAGCAATCACAGAACTGACTTTGTGTGACTTCATTTTGGAGCTCCTCCTTTCTAGCACCTTTCAAGTTTCCAGCATTCAGTGTTTCAAGATGAATCATACCTGGGCAGCAAAAACGCCTCTACTTCTCAAGCATTTTCCTCCATCTCCTCTATCAACCTGGTTCTTGCCAAAATATTTTGAAAGTTGAAAGTGCACACACATTTAATTTCATACATGTGCTATTGTTTTTCCCATCTTCGTGCTTTCTGCTCGTGCCTGTTGGGAACAGCTTTACTCTGAAGCCGACAAAGTGTGAGGGATAGCCTTGAGGGCCCAGTGCCAGAACAAGTAGTGTGAGAAGTGGCCCAGGGAGTCAGTTTGAACATGAAAGCAAAAAGACTGTGGTAGCAAATAAACCATGCGTCAGGTCCTTCATTTCTCTTCTGGTCTGCTACCAGCTGCCATTAGTAGCAGCTTTATGTGAGGAAAGAGAGTCTGCCTCTTCCCTAGATTGAAGTCTAATTCACATAGTCTGCTTCCTGCAATTATGGGAAATAATGTGTAACTTCTGACTGCTTCCCTTTCTTACTCTATAGTGATGTGTTTGAGGTAGGGTTCTTTCTCTTTCTAACTTTCTCCCTCTTTATCTCCCACAGGGTGCCAAGAAGCTGTGCCCTCAGTGCAATACCATCACCTCTCCAGGGGACCTCAGGCGTATCTACTTATGAAGGACATGGCTGCTCAGACCAGGGATTTGGGGGAAAGAAATGGCAGCAACAATGAAAGACATTTGAAAGCAAAACCTAGAGACTCCAAATGTGAACTAGAGGCTGAGGGAGCAGCGCAATGCCTCTGCTTCCAAACCTGTCACTGGTGCCGCCAACTCCACGGGAAGGCCAAACCAGAATCCTTATTGTGAATCCCCGCCTTTTTTTACAGACTGATGTTCCACACCTGTCCTATTTCTTCAAGAGTGAGGTTCCATCTTGGACGACTTGCAAGCCTTTCCAGGGGAGCGTCTTGACAAGCCAACCTGGCCCAACCCCACATGCCAGCTCAAGTAGGGACTGGATCTTCCACATCAGGAACTGTCATAACCTGTCACTTGTGTTCTCTCCCCTCCCCTTTTTTGTGGTGTTCTAGTGTTTTTTTAGAAGTCAGAGAGAAAGAGAGAGCCTACACTTGCAAACCCACAAAGGCAGAATGAAGCACATGTAATATAGACTATATGTTTACAATGTTGTGTATAAATGGGATAGACTCCAACATTACATACTAATATGTTTCCCTTTTATTTTTTCCTTTGTTCTTGGGTTGTACTTTTTTTAAAAAAGAGAAAAAAATAAGCAGAGAACATTAAACCCATATTTTTCTTGGTTCTACAAAGTTTTGGCATTAAAGTCATTAGTTTAAAAGAAATATAAATATATATATATTATACATATATATAATATAAATGGTTTAATGTTCTGTGGTGTATATTTCCTCATTCAGATATGACGTTAACAGCTTCTAGTAACAGCTGTAGTTTTTGCCCGTAACACAACTTCTGGGGGAAGTAGGGAAAAGTAGCTAATGGGCTCTTTTTATCAAATCTTTATCACACTGAAACAGTTTTAATTTTTCACTGAGGGGAAAGCAAGAAACTTGCAGATCAGGCTTACAATGCTTTACCCCATTGCCAGCTGGGTAAAGGACAGAAGTTTACATGAAGACAGAGGAGCAAAAAATAGGTTGGCAGTGGTGGTTATCAGAATTCAGGGCTGTAAGTTTATCTCTTAAAAGCTGAAGTCCTCTTTAGTTCAAGCATATTGTATTCACCCGCCTCTGCGCCTGCTCTGTAGCTCTTCCTGTGATGCAAGAGTAAATGCAAAAACAGCTGAAAAAACACCATATTCTAGCCATCCAGTATCTGAGCGGGGGTGGGGTGGGGCGCAGGAAGTACTCTAGCACTTCCTCCATTCTACTTCCTCATGAAAGATGATGTGTTTCATTAGTCAGGCGGGTTCTGTATCACTCTGGCATACTGTTTTGCCATGCCCAGCCACTGCCAGTCTGCCTTGCTCTGAAATGCTTTTCCGTGTAGGTGCAACATGATGTCCTAATTTTTCAGAGGTTCAGGTCCAGTAATACATCAGGTTCCAGTTTTGAAAAGAAAAGAAAGTGGGGTATGTGTTGGCTTTTTGTGACACTGGTTTCGTTTCCTCCTGTTCTCTCTCCTACTTGTACTGTGGCAATAGTGGAACTGAACCCAGGCAGGTCCACACAAGGTTGGATTCAGTTAATCCCTCTTCGCCTGTTTCTGCAGCGTTCCTGACATCAACCTTTTACTCAGACCCCTGTTCTGCATTTGAAAATATCTCCAGCTGTGGCTCACGTATATTCTGCTTACTACCTGCCTTAATCAGAAACAAGCAACTGACATTTTTAAATACATAGCCAAACAAGCCGCCTGCATTCCACCCGAGGGAAATTTTACAGGGTTGCCGGAAGCTTGAAAGGGGAAGCAAGCACTTTGCTTGGCAATAATTTGGGTAGGCAAATGTCCCTGTCATGAATCACCTTTTAAACTGAGGCAGACTGCTGCTCTGGGATATCCTGCAAGGTATTTTGTTCTTTTTCTCTAATCTGTGACTTAAGCACTAAAGGTTGCACTAAAACATCTGGCTATCGTCAGTCATGCTGTTGTCAAAAGGATTGGTTTTATATGAATGAGACTTCTACCACAAGAGAGTTGTATTTTGCAGTACAGGATTCCATATTCCTGTTGCAATTTGGCTGATAATGTGCTACTGCTGTCTACTGAATGCAAGCTGGAAATGGCTATTATCAGCAGGGCCTTGCTGTTTGACTTCACCCTGTTCAACACACACTATTGTCTGGTGGGAAATAGTTTCATACCCTTTGAGCAGGCGCAGCCAATATGGTGCCCTCCAGATATTGGGACTACAACTCCAAATATCCCTAACCATTGGCCATGTTGGCTGGGGCTGATGTGAGTTGGCAGTCTCCTAACAGCTGGCAGGCACCATAGTGGCTACGACCGCAAAATTCTAAGCTTCCATTGTGTCCAAAGAACTTCTGAACTGCTATGTCTCACTCAAAGTGTTTCTGATTGCTGCTACATAGGAACGAGTCTGAGGAAGGGCCATCTGCAGCCTGTATTAACAGGAGAAACACATCTTCAAGCAGCAGTTGATTGGCATCATAAATAGGTAGCAATAGTTTGCAAAAGGCACAAAGTTTCAGCAACTGCCTTTGCTCACGATGGGGCTTCCTCCACTGGTATAGCACTTAAGCCTTCCTAAAGGCAATCAAATGAAATTTGTCATGGTGGGGATGTCTGAATTGCACCCAAACCTGCTCACCTTGTACAAGCAATCTCTGCTCAGGCATTTAGGACAGAGCTATATTTCTCCCAGATCTGTTTCAGAATAGGCAGTGCTGAGGCAGCTCATTTTTGATTTCCCAGTCTGGGAACAATGAGCTTTCTCTGGTCCTGTGGACCACCACTAAGCCAAATGAATATATATAAACCACATATAACTAGTAGGCTTTATTTTTAAAGTTGATTTGTCCCTGCTTTTTTTCTTGAGAGGGTAGGGAGGGGAGAGAAGACCTGATGGGAAGATGCAAGGACTTGTTACCTCCTCTGGAGCGAGGCACATTTAGCAAAACTCTGTGACTTCGTCCTCAAAAAGCTTAAAAAGAAATGAACTATCTTTGCCCAAAGATTCCCAGCTGCACAAGGTGATATTCAAGTTGTGTCTATGATTGTGTGTCGATGTATATTCTATAAAAAGGTACTTGTCATTCCCGTTTGTAAACTACATTGACATTAATTAAATGAGTATAAAATCTTCCAAGTTTGCCTCCTGCCCTCTGCTTGCTTCCTGGTTTCATCCTTGGTTTTGGCAATTGCATAAACATATGATTCCGCTCCTGCTGCCCTCAAAACATGGTAGCTGTTAAGTCACATTCATGCAGGACCCACTGAATTATCCACCTGCTCCAGTGCCTCATGGCGGGGGCAAGGAATCCTTTTTCATCCCAAGGGTCATATTCCTTCATGGGCTGCCTTCCAAGGGACTGCATGCCAGTAGTGTTCCATGTTTTGACTTTTCCTTAAAATATTCTCAAACCATTTGTGCAAATATGCAAGGAGGCTCTAATGAGCCCTGTCAGCAGAAGCCCTGTGCAAAGACTTCTGGTTGCCCAATGGGGCTTCCCTCCTACCTCACAGTTGGCGATGGGGAAGATTAGGAGAACCCTTAGAGCGGCACGAGGCGAGTGGGATCATTCCATAGGGCAGGCAAACTGAAATGTTTGCGCAGAAATGATCAAGAGGCTGGAACAGTGCCCTTAAAAAGGGAAAGTCAAAGTTTGGAGCTCCTAATAAAAAAGGTTTGGGAACCTAATAGACAGGAAAAAAGTACTCATGATGTGTAGAGCGTGCTCCTCTATCTCAAATCTAGAGTCCAAGGTCATCAAGCAAATCTGAATGTTGGGAGATTCAGGACAGACAAAGTATACTTCTTCACCTAGCGTGCAGTTAAACTGTCACTAAAGAGATGATAAAGCTAGTAAAAAGCTAGTACAAAAAAGCCAGAGCTGCTTGTTTTTCAAACCTGGTTTCTAAATATTAAAATGTTTAGCATAACTCAAGTTATTTTAAGTTACAGAATAAATAAAACAAGGAATGGGGAAGCTATTGCAGCCACCACATTTGTGAAAACTATATACATAATCCCATAACTCATGCAGCTAAAGGCTGAGTTGGAAGGTATCTCCTGAGGTCACTAGTCCTGCCACCTCTTCAATGCAAGGTCTATATAGTGCAGAATGAAATGCCTTCCTAAATAACAGCTAATTTAGCCTCTGCTTAGACCCCTCCAGCAAGAGAGACAGTCATGCCTAAGAATGTGCAAAACCCCATTGCCCATTTGCCTTCTGAACATGCTGCTTTTGGGGTTCCATCCAGGCTCTTTCCCAGAAGTGTTGGGCTGTAACGTATTTGTAGCTTGCTGACAACCAGTACTGTAGTATCTGCACACAGGTCAGCCAGATCTACTTATAGCATGGAATCTTATTAGTAACACTAGGTAAAGGCCCATGGAATTTCACAGGGCTCCAGCTCTTTACCCTCCCATTCTCATTCTATTCATATCCCAAACTTCAAACCCTAATTCAGGCTTCCTCAACAACTCCCATGATCCCTAGCTAGCAGGATCAGTGGTCAGGGATGATGGGAATTGTAGTCCCAAAACATCTGGAGCGTCGAGGTTGAGGAAGCCTGCCCTAATTACTAGCAAAACCCTACATCTTGCCAGGGGCCAGATGAGGAGAAACAAACATGTCCACCCCCTTGTTCTGCTTGCAGCAAGGGTCTCGGAAAGGATCTCACCAAGGAGAAGAGGTACTGAAGGAACAGCATGAGGCAGAGAATCAGCAAGAATAGGATATGAGCAAGTTGACCAAATAAATAGCTGCTTTCCCCAATTGAGGGCATTTGTAGGAGCATATAATAAACTATGCATCCCTTCATTCACTGTCTTGAGACTAGAGCCACACATTACCTTGCATTGCATGGTCTCCAATCCACATATGCACAGATAATGAAAACGTGGGGGCAGAGGGACACTTGTAGGTAAGAAAGAGTGGTTGGGTGAGTCTTGAACCCTATCCGTGCCCAGAAACTCTCCTGTATAAATCCCCCCAGGAGGGTCTGAGTGTACCTAGGCAAAAAAGCATGCCATGAGGTAATTGCAAGGGAGTATTAGACACAGAAAGGATAAAGCACCCTCCCTGTCTGCTGAGTCTCCTCTTGCACATGCTGCCCTCAACATTATAATGCAAAGTCAGGGCTGGGAAACTCCATGATTATTATTATTTTTAAGTTATTTACTGAATTTATATAGCTGCTCATCAATAAATATTCTCTGGGCAGCTTGCAAATACAATATATCATGCTAAATACAATAAAAGCAAAAAACTTGTTACACCAGCCCAAATTTAAAACACAATTAAAAAGTCTAGGTGAATAAAAAGGTCATGGAATATGAAGGTGGCCCTACACTTATGGAATTCACCTGTCCCCCCTCCCCCCACGGTTTTAGTTCCTGATGCAAATTGCACTGCAGAGATGGAGAAGGTGGCTTGTTACTAGCATGTTCGGTTTATAATGGGCTATTTTAGTGCTAGGTACTTTTTAGATTACAGTATTTTGAATGGTGCTTGTTTTAAATGTTTTAAAATTGGTAGTTTTGTGAATATTTTTTCCTTTAAAAAAACAGTTATTAATTTACCGTATATGAACTTAAACTATAGCTTAGTTCTCTCTCTCAAACACACACACATTTGCAACATTCTTAGGGTTCAGGGTTATGAGAATATTCCTATAAAATGAAGGCTCTCAACAAATACCGTAAAAGAAGCATTAGCTGAATAATTGAGAATTGACCGAAGTTTATTTAGGGTTAGAGAAATGTGGTTTGAAAGAGAATTAAGAATCTTGTTTAACAAAAATACAAGATTGGTTTCGGGGTGTGTGTGTCTAGATTCTATGCCAGCTAGTGTTTGTTTTAAAGACAATACCATTATGCATTTTTTTCTGGGGCAGATGGGTTGACACTTGGAACGCTCTCAGTAAACCCACATAAATGCTACACAAATCTGATGCTATAAGAAATTGAAGCTAGACTGCAATCCCCAACTGGCTACTGGAGTTCCTGCCTTACAGCATCCCTGTGCTAAGCTGCTGCTTTTCATTCAAGCAGAGTGGGAAATCTCTGGCCCTAGTGGGAAATCTCTGACCCTTGGGTCCTTAGGCCATTCCCCTCAGTGGTCTTGTTCTACGCCCTCTTCAGGTGCTTCTGCCTGACTGAAATGCCTCTGGCAGAACAATGGGCAATACCTCTTCTGGGAGACACCTTGAGATGCTAACAAGCAGACGTATGATGATGAAGCTGTCTCCCATTCAGGGGTGTCTCGGCCCATTTCGCCACCTGAGGCAAAATGGGAAGGTGCTGCCCTGTGTGTGCACGCTGCCCACCACCCTGTTGAGGCTTCACTATCCATGGTCATGCAGCTATGTCTTCCGGGTTCCAGCAAGATCTCTCAGGCTCTCACAAGATCTCACCAGAAGCCGCCACAGCCACTTCTCCAGCAGAAGGGGGGGAGGGGGGACAACAGAGGCACCCCTTGGATTCTACTGCCTGAGGCAGCTGCCTCAGTCTACCTCATGGACGAGCCAGCCCTGCTCCCATTGTCTGTCCCCAATACAACCCCATACAGTAATTGAAGCACACCAGCTGCAACTAAGGTCCTGTAAGGCAGTGTTTCCCAACCTTTTCCCAACCGTAGCCCCCTACCAACTTTGTTTCCTTCCTGTGCCCCCGCCCCAGGCGTAGCCATGGAAGGCAAGGGGCATGTGCCCCCCAAATAAGTAAAAATCAATATAAATCTGAGGTTCTGCTTCCCCTAACAAAAGCCTGCCTCCTAACAAAAATCCTGGCTATGCCCATGCCCTTCTGTTGTACCAGTAGAAAGGTAGCTATTTAAATGTTTTGTTTGTAACTAGAACATGTTTTATTTATATTTTGTATAATTTATACAAAATACAATTACATAAAATGATAGGAACATAATGAAATATTGTTGAAGCAGAAAAATAGAGACTAATAGAGCTGGAAGGGACCCCAAGGGTCATGTTTCTAGCCCAACCCTCTGCAATGTAGGAAACTCAGCTAAAGCATCCATGACAGATGGCCAGCCAACCTCTGCTTAGAAACCCCCAAGGAAGGAGAGTCCAGAACCTACCAAGGGAGATCCATGCATTATAAAAAGTAAACACCACTTATTTGACTCCAGTTATTTGACACAGAGGGGGAAACCTACAGATACAGTCCAAAGGCGCACAAAGAGTTCTGTATATATGGGAGAATTTTAAAAAGCAAGTGGTCTTCACTGACCTGGTGCAAAAAGATCTTGTCATGCGGAGGAGCCCTGGCTGCCTAGATAAAACACTATAGTCTCACACACCCTTACCTGGGAGTAAGGCCCACTGAACACAGTGTGGCTTTCTTCTGAGTAGATAATTATTTACAAGATGCAATTCAGCAGCACTATTCAACCCCGCTTGGTTAAGTGCTGGGGTGGATTTCACCCCACACCTTGCAAAGCCAGGCCCGGGCTGCCACCTGGCTCAGCACTGGCAGCAGCATCAAAGCTAACAGCAAATGCCAAACAACCTACTCAGAGGAGTTTAGAATCCAAAGGAGTTTTCAGGACACCAGTTCTTATCTTGCCTCTCCAAAGTGACAACATTTCAGAAACCAGAGGCACAATCTGAAATTCAGAGCTACTTCTCAAATCCCAGGCACCATCAAGAGCAATAACAAGCTAAGCAGATCAAGGTCGGGCAGCAGCAGTTGATTCCTGAAATGTGACTGTTTTAATATCTGTCCTGGGCTTTGTTGCTCCCTAGAGCCAAAGGGGTGGGAGAGGAGGATTTTCCAGTTTATGGGGCAGAGCGAGAAAAATCTTAGTATTGACTATCCGTAAAGCGTTTATGACTTCACATTGCACACACTGGATTGTGAGTGAGTTTGGAAAGTGCAATAACTGCCTCATCTAGCCCTCCTTGTTTGGAACTGCTTGTCCAGCAAATGGTCAGCTGCCCTTGGGGCAAACAAAGCCCCATCCCAGGTGAACTCACCCTCTTGTTTATTTTCCTATCACCCAGTAACCAGAGTGATGCACCCCTAACAGTACAAACCTTTACAAACCAGAGCAAACAGAGTGGGATACAGGTTTTCCAAACGGGGGAGAAATAAAGGTTTGAGTAGGAATTCAGCCAAACCAAAAT